CCATGTATTTCAAGCCACCTTTTCGCCCCCAAAAGGTAGCTTGAAATACCAGATATTTTTTGGGCCGTTCCGTAATGGGCGACGACGACGACGGCGACGGCGACGACGACGACGACGACCGACGACGACGGCGACGACTCACACCGCATAGCTTGCATAATACATCCTGTACCACATAGATTCCACCGCGTAGCTCAAACAACATAGCATATACCACATAGGTTGCACCTCCATGGTGCAGCAACTTGCTGTTTGGGGCCCGCGACGGCCGACATATTCCAAATTCGCTTCTTGCTTTCGCTTTCACACCCCTTTTGGAAAAAAACACCCATGTATTTCAAGCCACCTTTTCGCCCCCAAAAGGTGCCTTGAAATACCAGCCATTTTTTGGCCGATCCGCGGGCGAGCAATTAATTGGCGACGACGCCCGACGACGGCGACGACGACGACGACGACCGACGACGACGACGACGACCGACGACGACGGAAAGGGGATGGCGACGGAGGGAACATCAGCAGCCATATCAGTTCTTATGCCCCAAAGCAAAGTAAGGCGCTGGGGCATAAGAACTTTGCGCCTCGAGCGGCTTACAACAAGACGCTCCCAGCCAGAAGTGCTCTCAGAACATTTCGTGGAAGCCACAACAACGGTTCTCAGAGCATTGCACGGTAGGGATGCAGACGAGCCGGGACGCTTCGCCACTGCTTGACGTGTTGCTCACCGCCCGCCGAGGCGCAGGCGAGGCCCGGGTCGGCCGTGGAGGAGCTGGCGCGGGAGATGGCCGTCAGCAGCAGCCCCTCCTGGCACGGCAGGCCCGCGGAGCGGGGCGTGTGGCCCACCAGGCGGGAGCCCTCGACCACCACGAAGTCCACCTCTCGACCAGGTCGCAGGAGGTGACCCTTCTTGGTGCAGGAGGGACCTCCGGTGCGGGCACGGACGGGTCCCCAGCTGTGGCCGCGCACGAAACAGCAGCAGCCGCTCGAAGGCGCCCAGGCCTGGCCCCCCCGCGGCCCCCCCCCCCCACACACGCCGCGCACCAGAGGCCACTCCTGCCCGGGGCCACTCCTGCGTCGCTAGCCGAGCCTCGTAGTGGAGCTGCAGCGCGGCCAGCTGGCCCGCCGAGGCGCGCAGGCCCCGGCCCGCGGCCGAGCCGCGCGGGTTCCACCAGGACAGGAGGTCGCCGGGGCCGTGGCGCGGGCGCTCGCTCCGCCCCCGGCCGAAGGAGCGGGCGACCATGCTCGTGGCCACGGCCTGCGGGCTGCTGTCGTAGGAGGACCAGGACCCCGGGCCGCGGGCGAAGTCCCCGGGCACCTCGGGCTCCTCCCAGCCCCCCTCCTCCGGCGCCTCGGGGTCCTCCAGCTGCTCCAGCCGGTCCCCGAGCTCCTGCTCAGCCTGCTCCGTCGACATGGCCTCCGAGGAGCTGGTCATCTCCACGCTCGACTCGACTCCATCGTCGAACCCGGTCCGTGCCCTGGGCCGCTGGACCCTCGGGGTTGGCTGGAGCAGCCGCTGCTCTGGCGGGTCCGGGCTGGCCGAGGACAGCCGCCTCCCGACGCAGACGGCGTACACCCCGAGGACCGCCGCGACGATGAGCGCCAGGGGCGCGGGAGAGAAGACGCTGAGCCTGCAGTGGTTGTGGTCGCCGCACAGCATCTGCGCGATGACCACCGAGGCCGGCGCGCTGGTCAGCAGCATGACGTTCCCGCAGGCGGCGGCGACGACGAGCAGGTAGAGCATGGGCCGCAGGGGGAAGCTGTAGCACTCCGCCCAGCGGGCCACCACGGGACTCGCCGCAGCCACGGCGGGGCTCCCGCCGATGACGGTGCCGAGGGTGAGGCCAGAGAAGTACAGCTTGGCACACGCCCACCGGCTGCTCCCCTGCTGCTTGCCAAGGAACCTGTCCAGGATGGAGTCCAGGAGCCCCGAGTCGCGGACGCTCTTGAGAATGATGGCCTGCAGCTGGGGTACCCAGGGGCCAAATTTGCCGAAGCCGCTGAGGGCCTCGTCCAGGGTGATGCGGCTGCTGACGAGGAGCACCGTGACGAGCAGGGCAAAGACGAGGTGGTCTGCGACCTTGTTATAAATAAGCGTGACGGAGAACCAGATCATCATCATTGTGAGGTACGCTCCCCAACGGGGCCTGGGCTTCACCTGGCCGGCATCCTCAACCTCGAACTGCGGATGGCAGGTGAGTTCTAACAGCCCCAAAAAACAAGCAAACAGGCAATTGGCCGTTATGAACCAGATCGGTAAGTTGGCTCCAAATTCCGCCTTCCGACGAGAAGCCCTACGATCCTTATGGTAAGCCTTCGCGGCGATCATGTCCCTCTTGAGCAAATCCAACACCTCATGTCGGTTGCTCTGCTGCCAGCTGCCGACCAAAGGTGATCTCGTCGTAGTGCCTGTGCCGGCTGCGTACCGTTCCAGAGGATGTGCACGCGAGCGTGTGCGCTTGCGCACCCACGCGATCCAGCGCATACGATTTGTCACAGGCCGAGCGTATGTGTAGACCTTCTGGTTTCTACGAAATAACGCAAGTCAGGTCTGCGAGAGGCAGTACGCAATGCAAGCCCGTCGCCAAATGGCCAAGGCACACTGTCGAGACACCACGAGACGCAAGTACATCGCAGCGTGCAGTTGCCAGAGTCACGCGCACGCCACGAAACACGCAGGAATTTGAGTAGATACACGTCCACACACGCACGCACGCACGCACGCACGCACGCACAAACACACATACACACACGCATATACCCACATACACACATACACGCTCACGCGCGCGCGCACGTTTCTCCGCAAGCTCTTCGCACGAGTCGACTGCATGCTGCTGTCGTGCAGAGCTGAAGTGGATCATCTAGGTGGCGGCACGCGCCCGCGTGCAGAGAACGGAGCAGACGACAAGGACCCCTGGCCACTAGCATGTGCTCCTGTTGTCCTCCCTTCGTAGAAGAGGGCGCAAGAAGGAGCGGAGAAACTGTGAAGGCCGCGGCCCGAAGGCCGATAGTAGCAACATCATCCCTTGGGGAGTAGGAGGAGGAGAAGGAGGAGGAGGAGGAGGAGGAGGAGGATGAGGATGAGGATGAGGATGAGGAGGAGGAGGAGGAGGAGGAGGAGGAGGAGGGGGAGGGGGAGGGAGAGGAGAGGGGGAGGAAGAGGAGGAGGAGGAAGAGGAGGAGGATTGGGAGAGACCCCAGGGCTGATCCTAAGGTCACACGCTCACGCTTCACTCAGGCAACAATTCTCGCTTCCGCACCACGGCAGTGCACCCACAGGTAAAACTGAATGAAGCGGGCCACCCACAGCAATAATCACGCAGCCACACACACAGACACACGCGTGCACGGGCGCACATCGCGCATACAAACATTGCTCCACCAGCGAAGGCACCGTGTCTCAGGAAGCAGCGTGGCGGACGGGCGGGTTAATCATGGCGCACACTGGCACGAAACAGACACAAGCGAACGATGCTGGCTTGGGAATCTAGTTCGCGTTCGTGTCGGCTACTCTATCCCGAATGACCCGAGCACGCCTGTACGTTGAGGAACACTTGCTTGTCAGCGGCGATGTGGGACACACGTTCAGGGACACACACAAACACACACACACATATACACAAACACTTGTTTACGTTGCGACGCGGCCAATATCAGACGACACAATCGGCGGCCGGAGTGAACACTGGGAGAAGCCCGGGCACACACGCACACTTACACACACTTACACACACACACACACACGCACACATTTTACCAGGCGAGGCAGCCGCTCTTCAATGGTGAGGTCCCGTCGGCGGCAGGCGCTCGCGCTGGTCGACACAGGAGACGACGGCAGAAGTCAGGAATTCATTCAATCAATTGCTCTCCCTCTCCCACGGCGAAGCATCGGCTAATTCTCGAATGGCGGGCGCACCGATTCAAATCTCAATCGCCCTTGTGCCGATCCGCTCAGTCCAAAGCCGTGCTCTCCTGGGCTATGGGCCGACGAAGGGTTTTCCATCCACACGCGCACTTGCATATTGGAGCCGATGGCATCACACGACGGTCACGAGCGACAACGAGCGCACGCTTGTACGATCATATCCTCAAAAAGTCGCACTAGCCCTCCTGGGCGCAGGTGGTGTAGATCGACTCCTCTTCCATCGACCTTCATACCATAACACACGCCCGACGACTTCCCGCCTCACCCGGCAGCTCCTCCCGTGGGCCGCGCAAGGCCGCTTCGGGCCCTCCGGGAGGGGGGGTTCTTCCTGGCCTCTCTGGCGCCCGAATAAGGTCTCTGGGGACCTCTGGGGGGGAGCCCTTGCAGGCACCTGTGGGCCCTTGGGGTGGTGTTGGCGCCAACGACGCCGGACTCGCTGTTGGCGCTGCCGAGGCTGGGTGTTCACCCTCGAGGAGGGGCAGAAGGAAGAGTGAGAAGGGGAGGGTAAGGCGAAGGAGAGGGGGAATGCAGTGTCCCATGCGCGAGCGGCCCCGTGGAACCAGCCTCAGCCACCCGGTTTTCGAGTAGGGGATCGACTACAGAATTGATTTACCCCCAAATTGGTTTCTCGTCGAACCTAAGAAAAATATGCATAAGTCTCAATAGATTGATCGACATTCCAGGTTTCCGTCGTAGATACGATGGGGAATCAATTTTTGGGTAAATCAATTCTGCAGTTGATCCCGTACTCGAAGGTTGCACTCCGTGCGCGTCTGAAACTTGTGGGGGTTTCAAAACAGGCTCGGCAGAGTTCACGGCCTCGGCAGCAGCAACACCACTCACACCTTCGCACGCCCGCCCAAGCGCCTGTGCGGGCTGCACTGTGCTCAAGAGGTTCAGCCTGCACGTTCTCCACGTCATCTGGGTCTGGGACCTGGAACCGGACTGATGAGGCTGGAAGCGGACGATCTGTCATCGCGGCCGGCCTTGAGCACGGACACGGCAGCTCGTAACGCAACGGTAATCACGTAAATCTCCCAAGCTCAGGGGACTTGTTCAGAAGAGCGTAACCATATGAATTCAAGATGCCATTACTTCCTGCGTCAAGCATGGGGTTACATATGATACTTGATGTCGTGTCTGGACGAAGAGCGCCAGAGAAGCATCCGTGTAAGAACCTACGAAACAGCGAGCCCTCCGAACTCAAAGTGGTCTGTCTTTCCGCACCTTGGCGGCATCCCACCCTCCTCTGAGGGGGAACGTTCAGAGGGGGACCGGCTCCGGGGGGAGCCATCGAGCTGGAGTCGGAGATGCATCGCCGACAGGTCGGCGCTGGGACCCCGATCGCCAATCCGCACGTTCCTGGGCGGGGCGGGCTTTCGGGCCCCCATCGACGGTGAATGGGCGATTGGTGGACGAAGCGTTCTTCCCGAAGCCTATCCCACCCTGACGTTGCCCGAATGTTGGACATCCCGGGCTCGACTTCAGGCCACGGGGACCATCAGTGAACGTCCCGCGGCGATGCACCGCTCCTGGGGTCAGGGTCGACAGCTTCCGCGGCACACGACGTCGGGGGTCTGCGTCTATGCACGAACACTCTATCTTGGTCAGGCACATGATGGGCCCAAGATCGGCGTGGCCAGATTCGGTGCTCGGGCATGTACGTGTATGGTTGGCGTCGCCAGTTGGCTGCCCCTAACACGGGACCGCGCACCTTCTGATGCAGCGCATTGGACAGCGCTTGGTTGCAACCTGGCTGCCGCGCCCTGGAAATGTAAGACACGTTCGCCATCTGCGGTGAAGGAAAGACAAAGACACGAGAGAAACGGGACCTGGACCCCAGGGGCCACCTCCAGGACCAGCCTGTCTTCCTCGATCGTGTCTGACGGATCCCGGGCCCGGGAACGGCCCCGCAGGGGGCCGACCAACGGCAAACAGCCTCAGCACCCCCCTCCCTGGGGACCCCTTCTCTTCAAGTCGATCGTCAGCGCCCGCGGGGGAGAAAAGCGTTGTTGGCGTCCCCTCCCGTCCTCCAACCTCGGTCGGCCACGGTGGTCCCACGTCCCAGCAGGACTGCGCCCACGGGGCTCAGCTCGAAGCTCTGAGGCATGGCTGCAGGATCTTCCCCGAGGCCACCGAGCAGACCTCGCTCTCGCGCAAACTGCGGAGGCGGATGCAAGGGGGGCCGCCACTCTGCTCCTCGCACGCGCCTCAGAGCAAGGCGAGTTGAGACAGCGGCAGCTTCAAATCAATGCCCGGACCCCTCCGCGGGTGCCAAGCGCAAAAGTCTTCCGAGACGCGCCCAACCGTGGCGACGAGGGGCCCCCCGAGGGCAAGTCGCCGTGGTCTCAGCTAGCCCTGCTCTGCCTGCCGTCGATGCCGCCCTCTCCCCACGTCCGCCATTGCGGATTTCCCCCACCAGGGCCCCATGCGGGGTCGTATAGTGCGCTTGACACTCAACAGCGGATGATTCCGATACCCGTCCAGACACTAACCCCGAATGCTTCCGATAGCCGTCCAAGAACCACGGAGGCCCCCAAAGGCCCCATACTGATGCAGTGGTCGGCGGATGTGGCGTAAGCCTATTAAACCATCGCAAGCCGAGGTCTGGGAGACTCTTGGATAACATAAGATAGTTGTTGCTCAGTTGAACAACTAGTGGGTGGGATCGTAGAGGCAGTGATCTGGGGTACCCTGGGATAAGCACTACGCGTAAAGGCACTGTACAACAACTTCGGCGCCTGATCCAAATTGGGAGGGGGCGCTGTCATCGATTCGGCCTTTTCCACTGCCATGCGAACTCTCAGCAGGAGCGTTCATCGCGCCGTGCGCCGCTGGATGGGGCGACGAGGGAGGAAACAACTAAGCAACAGCGGATCCTCGACCGTAGACCGTAGAGGGTCGGGACCGCCGCAGCAGGTCGAGGCAGGGTCCAACTGCTGCCCAAGCTTGCCACCGCGCACGCGGCATGCAGAAGCCGTCCGAGAGCGAGCGGGCCCAGTCAAGCACAGCGGCCCGGGCCCTGCAGCCAGACCCGGCACACGCAGAGGAGAATGACGACGACGGAGATGTCCAAAGTCACGCAGGCTGCCCGCTGCCGGCGACCGCACGCTGCACAGGAGGCCCCAGACAGCTGGAGCAGCTCACGTCGGCGGCGCAGCACGCGTCCCTCTCCGCATCAAGTTCAGTTGTAGTACAGCTCCAGGCCCATCCCGTCCTTGATCTCGTAATCCTCCAGGGTGATGTGGTCCTTGTAGATGTTGTACCACTTCTGGATGCGGATCTTTTCCCAGCGAGTGCCGCACTGGGCCGCGATTAGCTTCTTGAGGTCGCCCACGGTGTCGTCCGGGTTGCACTTCACGCGGATCTTGCGCCCGATCCGGTCGTTACAGATCACCTCTTATCAGGCAGGCAGCCTCACAGACCCAGGAACGACGGGTGCGGGCTACAGCCAAAGCGACGATTCATATAAGGTTGACCGTAGAAACCTACGTACGCAAATTCTTGGGTCAGATATTGCGCGGCAGAAACGAACGAAGAAACTGTGTAATGCATTCCTGGAGAAGAGCTGGGACAAAACGACCGACCGTGGGAAGTTCCTCAATGATCCGTGCAACCGAAATTCAGACAAAAAAATGTCATGGCGAAGGACCCAAGGAAATGCATGTGGGAATACCACGATGTGGATAACGTTGCCAGTTTCAGCCCCCTATGGTGCCACGAGGCGTGTGAGGAGTGTGCCGAAATGGGCGCGGGGACGCATGCGGGCCGTGAGGCCGGCCTTGGGTGGACCTGTGGGGCCACGAACCGTGTGAGGGTTGTGCCGACACGGGCGGGGGAACCGCATGCGGAACCCCCCTCCTGGAGGATTCGGTGAAGCTCCCAGTGGGGCGGCGAAACGTCTGAGGGGTGCCGAAATGGAAGGACAACCGCATGCGTCCCTCCCCTCCTGAGAGCTTCGGTAAAACTCCGTGTGGGACCAAGAAACGTGGGAAAGGTGTGCCGACATGGGTGGATTACCGCATGCTCCCCTCCCCTCCTGGGGGCTTCGGTGAAGCTCCCCATAGGCCCCAGAACGTCGGAGGGTTGTGCCGACATGGGTGGAGAAACGCATGCGCTCTCCCCCCCTCTTGAAGGCTTCCGTGGAGCCCCCATACGTATGGGGCCACGAAGCGTGTGACGGGTGTGCCGAGATGTGCGCGCGGTGGGCAGATGCAGGGATGGGAGGAAGGGCGGGTGGAGAAGGAGGAGGAGGAGGTGGATGAGGAGGAGGACGAGGTGGATGAGAATGAGGAGGGGAGGAGCAGGAGGGAGGGAGGACGCGGGGCGCTGTCTCTTTACAACGAAGACCCATCACCACAGGATGGCTGGGAAAACATAGCATGAATATGCATGTCGGGAGGTCCGCGCGGATATCTTGCATCGGCGCTTGCCCCCCCGCCCTGGCGCGCAGAGCGCGCCAGGGCGGCGCCGAATGCTCCACCAAGGAGGCCAACGCCGATTCAAGGAACCCGCCGCGCGGAGCTTCGAAAAAAGATGTATGTGCTGCCGCCCCTTCTTCGGCGTAAGGTAGGAAGGGGGGGGGGATGCGATGCGGAGCAATCCCCAAGCACCCCCTCCCAGACCCGTGTCGTCATGACGTTCTTCAGCGGTCGACACCCAGAGGTCTCGACCCATTCCCCTGGACAAGCTTCTCATCCTCGCGAGGCCCGGCGAAGGCCCCCGGAGGCCAAAAAGGGCATGACACAAGCCGTCCGTCGTGGTTTCTGCCATGCTTCGAGCGGCTCTGGGGGGGGGCCTCCCCTCGTGTGATGGCACACGGCCCACCTCGATCATGCCGCCCCCGCGCCCGCCGAGCGACGCCGCCTGGGCGACTGGGCGCCCTGCGGGGCCGCGCAGATTGCGCCCCGGCCCCCGTGGCTGCAACGGCCGCGGAGAGGGGGGATGAGAAGATGAGAGAGGGGGAGGGGGGCAGGCTAGGCTGAAGTCGGGCACGTCCCCCTACGGGCGGATTTGGGACGAAACATAAAGAATCCGCCCACCCTGTGTCGGCGTGCGGAAGAGACTTTTCGCTCTGCCCCCTCTGAGGCTTTCCTGTCTGCCCCTCTTCGTCGTCGTCGTCGTTCCTTCCCCTTTCCCAGGCCTCCCCCTCAAGTGGTGAATCAAAAAGAAATTGAGCAATGTCGTAATCACAAAATGGAGCCACGTCGTCATTGAGTCGAAGGGAAGCCTCTTCCCTTTCACCTCTTCCCCGCCCGGGGGGGGGGCTCTCGCGGGGGGTCCCAGTCCTGGGGGGGGTCCCGGGTCAGATACGACGCCCCCCCGGGAGCCCCGCGGCCCAACGAAGCCCCAGGACGAGCCAAGAATGTCCCAAGAGACCCTCACGAGACCACGTCCTGTCTCCGTCAACATCTGCGGGCACCACTACCACCCCCGAGTCTCCCCCTCCCCTACAACTAACCCCCCTCCTTCCCCCCTCCCCTCACCTGAACCTCTGCCTCCACCTCATCCTCCTCATTCTCCTCACCCTTCCCCTCCAGGTTGCTCGTCCTACTTCTCCTTCTTCTACCGAGTCGTTGTCAGCGTCCTCATCTTCAGGGTCGGCGGCACTGGCCTTAAGGCTTTCGCAATTGTCAAACAATACCCAAATATTCAAAAATAGTGGAAAAGTCGTCCCCATACTATTTTCTTACTATTGTTGAGTACTCCTCCTGTAAAGGGTGTAAAGGGACGTGCCCGACGTAAAGTTAGGTACTTTCGCGACATGTCCGACATCCTACCCCTCCCACGCACCCCTCCCCACTGCGCTGATCGTATCTCTATATCCACTGACGGGTGCCATGGGGGACCTGCAAGCCCCAAAAGGACCCCAGGGTGCTGTGCAAAGTATGCATAGGGGAGCTGTGCACCGAGGAGGAGGAGGAGGAGGAGGTGGAGGAGGAGGAGGAGCAGGAGGAGGGGGAGCAGCCTCACCTTCCAGCAGTCTCTGCGGGGTCTCAGCTCCTATGCCAGGAGAGCGTAAATTGCAATGGCGGGGCACCCTGTGCCTGTCGTGTAAAGGAGCGCGGCGCTTGGCGCGGCGAGCGTGGTCATACGCAATGTGTTAGAGAAGTGGAATGGAATGGCGGTGCGCTTCGCGGCGGTATGCCACTCCACTTCCGATCGAGGGACAGAAGGTGCCCATCTAGATGCCAATCCCCCGGTGGACAAGTGCCTATCACATGAGATGCCCACTTGGATGACCGCGGAGGTTGCTAAGGGGACATGGGAGGCACAAGTGGATGCCAAGGTGGGCTTGTAGATTACAAGTGGGTGCTAAATGGCTTGGGTGGGTTCGGTAACTCCGCTGAGTGGGCGCAGCCCACTGAGTCCAGATCTTAAGTCACTCATGCGCTTCTGACCCACGCATGAGCTATGTTAGACAATGCGTAAGCCACCTCCGCATCCACGCGTACCCCCCTTTCGCCTGAGCACCCTCCGCGGTCATTCCACCGTCCCCCTGGCAGAAAGAAGCCTGTCCCTCCAGAGGAAGGATGCCTATTATATGCCTATCACCCTACTGGTATAATGATACCGGAGAAAAAACAAACATATTGTTGTTGGGGCTATGGGGCTATAGGACAATTGGCCTATAGGGCTATGGGGCTATATGGGCTATATGCCTATAGGGGTATAGTGCTATGGGGCTATTGGGCTATTGGGCTATAGGGGCTATAGGACTACAGGGCTATAGGGCTATAGGCCTATAGGGCTATAGGGCTCTAGAGCTATAGGGCTCTGGGGCTCTAGAGCTATAGGGCTCTAGGGCTAAAAGGCCATAGAGCTATAGGGCTATAGGGCTATAGGGCGATTGGGCTATAAGGCTATATGGGCGATAGAACTATAAGGCTATAAGGCTATATGGCTGTAAGGTACCCGGGCACCCCCGGGCACCTCCGGGCACCCCCGAGCACCTGGGCACCCACGGGCACCCACGGGCACCCGGGCACCCGGCCACCGGGCACCCGGGCACCCGGGCACCCGGCCACCGGCCACCGAAATCCTGCCGCACAAATCGTAACCCTTTAGAATCCGCTAGGACCCCTACAGAGACAAGCTCTGATTGGGGAAATATGCTTTTCACACTGGTAGAAATATGCCTTTCATACTGCTTATTTGTTATTGGTAGAATATGCCCTTCATACTCCTACCTAGATGCCCCCCCCCCCCCCTGGTGGAAAGATACCTTTCGTGTGCATACCTGGATGCCTGTCCCCCCGCTGGAAAGATGCTCATCGTATATCGATATTGATGCCCAGCCCCCTAAATAAACATATGCCTACCAGACGCCGACCTAGATGCCGATCACCCTGGTGGCAAGATGCCTGTCAGATGCCAGCCTGCGCACCTCTCCCTCAGGTGGGCACATGCTGTCAGATGCCCAATGCCTATGCCCCCCGTGGAAAGATGCCGATCAGATGCCGCCAAGATTTTGAGAAGGCAAGCCTCTGCTGGCGGTGGCGTGAGATGCGGCGTCGTTGGGGTAATGAGCCCCTCGAGGCCTCCAGACGGACTCGAATCACACCGCATGCCGAGAAGGACGCCCTCAACCTGCAGCTCCTCGACAACGCCATTGTTCGATTGTCGGACACTCGGCTCGAACGTCTGCAGCCACTCACCCGTACGCTGCGCGTGGTGCTTGAAGATGATATTGGGAAGGATGATCAGCAGGACGAGGATGACGAGGAGTAGCAGAAGGAAGCGGGAAGAGGAGGGGTAGGGGTTGAGAACGAAGAGGAGGAGGAGCAGGAGGGGCAGGAGAGGAGGAGGGATCGGAACATCCGGATGATTATGATGAAGGTGGAAGGGGGGCAATGAGAATAGAAGGATGACGAGACTCACCGTGTCACCGTGATCGACTGGTGGTCAGATGGCCGTTGGCCACCATTGGAGCACAGAACGGAACACAAAAAATTGCTGTAAAATCGCCGTGGCCGAGTCTGGATGACGTGCGTACGCATGCGTTGATCCCTCTCTCTCGCAATCTCTCAGAAAACCTCACGTTACTTCTGCTAGCTTCACCCACTTTACGTAGGATGTTTTCTGCCGAAGGCGAGAAGTCAGACGTTCGATTCCTTGACGAACAGCCCCTTTTTGAACAACCCTACCTATCACGGCGAATGGTGTATCGCGGGTTGGCTTTCCGCATACCGTCGACCGTATCGAACAGGTCCATGGTGCTCGGAGACACGAACCACGCAGGAAACTGCTTACTAGTAGTGGACGCCCGGCCGAACAACAGAGGCAAGACTAACATGGCAGAGTCGTGGTGGTAGCCCCAGGGGGCAGTGTCACCATACATGATGTTCTTCCACTCGCGGTACCAGCTCGCGGAAAACTGGCCCAGAACGTTCCGCCGCACAGAAAACATGCCTTCACCGTATGTCTCATGAATGAGAGGGAGTGGCTGTGGCAATTGACGCAACGCCCATGCGAGATCAGCTGGGCCTTTTTCTGCCGTGACTGCATTTCTAACCATGCTCAAACCAACTGAGCCATTCTTGTACCTCTGTGTGAAGATGGAGCCTTGACAAGAGATCCCCTTCCTTTTGACGCAATCGCGACCTCCCTCACAAAACTCGTGGTAGAGAGAATGGTTGCTCCATGCTTTGTCGCACCGCACCTGCAGGTACCGTCTGTCGAGCCCCCATGGGTACGACACCATTTCATAAGGAGTGCCGTCCAGTGCTACGTCGACCATATATCTGACCTGTCTTTCATCAATCGGATGCTCCTTACTATCCATGTCATTGGTCTTCGTGAAAATCTCGACGCTTGCGAAGGATGGTGCTTTGCGCGCGATATGCCACACGTAAGCATGTTCGCTTCGCCCGAACTTGGGGATGGCGATCATCTCGAAACGACCTCTGCTCTCCAGCACCCGCTCCTCGTCAGGCCCGAGGCCCGCCGTTTTCACGTACACGGAGAGCGACACGTGCTCGCCCCACTCGCCGGCCATGATGCTCCGGCTCCACCGCGGCAGCTCGTCACCGCTCCTCACACTGATCACCACGTTGACGGTGCGGTTTCCCTCCCCCTGCCGGGTGGCGGCCTCCGCCTCCTCCTCCGCCGGCTGCGCCCCGCGCTCCGCGCGCGCCTCGTCCCAGGCCTCGGCGAAGTCGCCGCTGAACTTCGTCGCGTTCTCCGGGACACCCGCCGCCCTGCCACCGGGCACGAGCCCAGACCTCCGACGGCTGCTCCCAATCTCACAAATCGCGGGGGGGGGCGGGTCAAAAAAGCGCTGGGCAGCGCGTCGGGGACCTCCCCCCTCAAGAGCGGTGCGAGAAGGGGTCCACCATCGAGACCCCCAACAAAAATCTTGCTTGGCGAGGTTCGTTGGAGCCCCCATACGAGCAGGCCCCCCCCACGTCTTCAGTGGATCTGGAGTGGGTTTTGTCAGCGCGGGGTCCCTGCAGCTCTGGACAACTTCCGGGGACGGATTTTTCTTCGAAGACGGTCCCTGGGCCCAGCGAGGGCCCCCAAAGGTCGAACACGGTGAACGACTGCGTCTTGATGCTGTCTGAGACGCTACACGTCTGGGAATGAGGATGACCTCGAGTCCCCTCGAAACCTCGGCATTGAATGCTGCACAAAATTTACTCGCGGAACCCAGGTTCTCCCGAGTTCCAACAAAATCTCTTGGCGCTCCAGACTTTCGCGCGAGTGACCTTTCCCGAGGCCCTGTAAGCGCTTGGGGGGGCACGAACCTCAACCACCGAGACGATGGCAGGACAGGGACAACCTCGGCCTCGGGACAAATCGGTGATCGTTGAGGGCGCCGCGGCCGATCCAAAGCGCCCCTCGGTACGCTCCGAGAGCGCTCCGCAGAACTCTGGAACGATGTATCCCGGTCCTAGCTCTTAGCCTCAGGTCGGGCATGTCCTCGAAAAGGCTGATTTTGGACGAAAAATATGAAGCAGTCCAAAAAGATTTAACAAAGTCCCCAAAATGGTCGAAACGTCGTCCCCAAACTATTTGCTTTACTATTATTGAATACTCCTCCTGTAGAGGGACACGCCCGACTTAAACCTGCACCGCGTCCGAATCATGCCCCGCAAGAATGCGCCAGGGCCGGACCTGGAGCCCTCTTGGGTGCCTCTACTGGGCTTCTGGTCAACGACCGCGGCGCGGTGGCCGGAGGGGCCGAAGGCCACCAGATCCGCCGCCCCCTGTGGCCTGCCACAGGGGTGCACGGCATGTCGAATGTCTGGCAATTGTTTGGTTCCTCTCTCAAGGACTCCCCAGGGGATCTCGGCCCAGCCCGCCAGCCACCCGGAAACCCTGGAACAGTTGGTCTCCACTACCCATCGCGTCCACGATGGCTGAAATTGCTCCAGATGGCGTCTAAGGATAGTCCCAAGATGGGCTCCAAGGCGATCGCAAGACAAGAGAGCCCAAGATGGCCCAAGAAGCGCCCAAGAGGCCCCTAAGACGTCCCAAGAGGCCTCCAAGAGGTCCTCCAGGAAGGCCCGAAGAGTTCAAAATCATTGAGTTGCTTTAGGTGCAACGCCTAAAGAGGGCCCCAAGACGGGCCAGAGAGACTCCCGAGACGGCTTCCGTCTGCGTCAGGCCGCCGCAAGACGGCCAAAAAGGCCCCCCAACAAGCCCCTGAAGGCCCCCAAGAGGCCCAAGGAGGCCCCCAAGAGGCCTCCACGAGGCCGCCACGAAGCTACCAGGAGGCCCCAACATAGTGACCCGAGAGGCTCTGAAGAGGTCTCCTCCGCCTCCTCCTCCTCCTCTTTCCTCGCACTCCTCATGCTCCTCTTTCTCCTCCACGTGGCCCACCATCAAAAACGGGTCTTACGCGAGATGGCGTAACGACCTTACGCGGTGGCCTACACGGGCCGCCGGCCCGTGTAAGGCTGCTATGGAGAGAGGGCGCTTACGCGCGACCGTACGCGAGGAGCTTACGCGAGAATGTCGGCGCAATCGACCCCCTTTTTTCCTGCGTCGCCCCGTTTTCCCCGGAGGGCCCCCACGACGGCTGGGGAACGCATGGTCCAACTGCGTGGCCAAACGTTGTCCCAACCTTTGGCCACGTGGTCCTACCCGTAGGCGTCTTCGATCCGCCGCCGCCTGAGGCTCACCACCGAGGTGCACGGCGTGCCAAACCGTAGGTAGCTGCATCCTGTTTGAAACGCTAGGAGGCAACTGCTGAGAGATCTTCGTCGGAGGGATTGAAGAGGATTAAGCCCGTACAGTCGGCCCGTATTAGCAGGTCGACCCTGCCAAATCAAGGGCACCTTTGTGGCCTGTGTCTCGCGACCCGTGCCTCCTGCATTCCTATGGCAATGTGACCCTCGGCAGGGTCTTGTGCCCTCTCGCGTGTCCTGCCCAATGAAGTCCGACAGTATTAGGCCGCAGATTAACCGGGATTGGTCCAGCTCAAGCGGGATTACGCCGGATTCAGCCAGGTCCAGCCGGATTTCGGACCAGGGCAGAGTCAGAAGTTGACCTCCCACGAGTGGCATCCTGGGTAAAAGACGTTCCCAGATGGGGCCTCGGCCGCTCGCGCTGGCCCCGCGAAACAAAAAGAAACCAGCTCCCTTCGGCGTTCCGCCCAGAAGGTCCAGCAAGAAGTCCGGGTCGCCGGTCTTCCCGCTCCAGGCGCCCCCAAGGTGGCCTCCAAGACGGCAAACATAGATCCCAAGACGGCCAGGATCGCCCCAAACGAGCCCAAGCTGGCCCCAAGACGGGCAGAGATACCCCAAAGATGGCTCAAGATTGCCCAGGATGGCCTCAAGATCTCCCAAGACGGCCCAAGAGGCCTCCAAGACGGCCCAAGAAGCCTCCAAGAGGACCTCCAGGAAGGCCCCCAGAGGCCAAAATCATTGGTGTCCGTAGGTTGTTGAAGGAGTTGCGGGTTTACTCAGTGTCGGCTATCCAACGGGCCAAAACAAGACCAGCAGCCAACAACATGGCCCCTAAGAGTGCCCAAGAGGCCTCCGACATGGCCCCCTGACAGCTCAAGATACCCCCAAGACGGCTCCAAGAGGCCTCCCAGACAGTCCACGATACCCCCAAGACGCCCAAGATGGCCTCCAAGACTGCCTTGAAGGGCCCCAAGAGGGTCGTAAGTCGGCCCAGAGACCCTCCTAAGAAGGCTTCCGACGGCGTTGGGCGGGCCAGGAACGCCCTCAGAGGGCAAAGAGCCCCCAGGAAGCTTTCACAGGCTCCCCAGGAGGGGGCCCAAGGAAGCAACCAAGAGGCCTCCAAGAGGCCCCCAGGAAGGCCCCAAGAGTGCACCAAGAGGCTTCCAAGAGGCCTCCTCCTTCGTTTTACTCCCTCTCCTCATCCTCGGCTTGGGGAGCACATAGTCCGAGCCGTAACGTTCGGCCACAGAGGCGTTTCCAAAAGCAAGGTCGGCGGTGATTCGCCGTAGGCGTCTTCGATAAAGGGCGTCTCCGCTGGATTGGATTCCCTCCTGACGGTCGTCTCCATCTGCAGCTGCTATCCTCGCGTTCGGCAAGTACGGATCAACAAACAGTGCAAACGTGGATCGCGCACAGCATAGGAAACCAGCTACCAAGCTGCATCGGCACAGCATTGGTCACGCCGTCCCCTCCTGGAGAGCCAGGCTGAGAAACAGTTCTTAGACCGCGGTCGTGCTGGTGCATGTGTTTACCACATCTTGCCCTGCCTCCTCTCCCCTGTCCCTTCAGTCATGCTCCCAGTCGTGCGCTCTACCCCCCCAGGTGCCAACGGTGCCACACAAAAAGCCAACTGCCCGAACCCACATGCCCGCCCCAGATTGTTTCGGGATTAGGCATGGGGCGGCGGTGATTCGCGATGCCCCCAAATGCCCGAGAGGTCCGCAGGCGGCCTCAAGAGGCCTCCCGGAAGCTCCCAAGGAGTCCCGAAGAGGCCTCCCAAGTGACCCCAAGAGGCCTCCCAAAGGCCGCTGGTCAACGACCCAGAGAAACGCAGATAAACGGTGGCGAGATGCGACAAAGGCCACGAGGTACCATGTAGTGAAACTCTGCAAGTTGTCCTTGCATGGTGTTCTGTGTCGGGCATGCCTCCTGCCTGTTCCTGCAATGCCCATATAAACCCCAACTTGGTATACACATCATCTCTGCCAGAAAAATCAGTTTCCATGCAGAGGGAGCTCGACCACAAGAAACCTTCCACAAGAAACGCCAACCCTGAGGCCCCAGGACGTCCATAGATTTTGGTGTGGGAACGTCGCGCCTTCCACCGCAAAACCATCGCAACCCAAGATGCCCAGGACACCCTGGAGGCAAGCATGGTGTTTCTTGGCATGGGTTTCCACTGAATGATTCGCCTGAATGATTCGCCTGTTGTTTCCATCTCTCTGGTGGGATTCCTGAGGATCGGACCCCAAGCCCTGGACGGCGACGCCGATGAGTTACGTGAGGCGAGATCTCCGAAGGCACTCCTCCACGGGCCGCCTTGGCAGGCGTGGCCCGCCGGAGCATGTGGGCGGGCGGGGACTGGCCTGGTCGGCCTGGCGCACCCCGGCTCGGGGCGAGCCGTGTTCTCTTTGGTGCAGCCGCTTCTGCTCCACGTCGGCATCTGGGAGCTGCTCGCCCCCGGGACCGTGGCAAACTGTTCCAGAACGAAAGAAAGGAAGATGTGCCCCTGGAGAAGTGGCCCAGGCCCATGGAGCTGGCGAGCGGAATCATAGTCCCTCGAACGGCTGGGCAGACAGATCCGCTACTCCAAGAAAGTGGCCCCGTCGGAGCTCCGCCGATGGGGCCGGCGACGACGGGCGCAGCCCTTCAGATCATATGGAAGAAATCGGTACCCCTGTCCACAACCCGATCACCTTTCGCGTTGGGCCAACATGCTTACGGAAAACGGAGAGAGCCAGCTTCAGACGTAAATGAGGAACATCGAGAGGAGGAAATGAGTGATACCTGAACATATGCATATACACTTGTGTGTATATATGTACAGAATCATGCGCATGTGCGTGTGTATAAACATGTATAAAGAAAGGGAGAGATAGAGAGAGAGAGATGGAGGGAGGGAGGAGGCAACGGAGGACGAGGAGGGGGACGAGAAGGAGGAAGACGCTGACGCTAAGACGCTGACGCTCCCAATGCCTCCAACATTACAATCATCGTGCTACCACAAGGCACGCTGTAGAAGGAACGACTGGACTTTTCTGGCCGAACCTGGACGCCGACAACGGGAAAGCAGCGTCGCCCATACTCTTGCAAGATTTGGGATGTCTGGGTCTGGCTTGAAGGGTGACGGTGGGGGGGGATTGGCTCAGGGGCGGGGGGATTGGCGATGCACCGCCGATAGATCGGCGACAGGCCCTCGATGGCGAAACCGCACGCCCCCGGCGGGGCGGGCCACGAGGCACCTCTTTGAGCAATGTGTGGGCCACTGGGGGTCGTTGCGTTCCCCCTCTGAGCCTAACCCCCCCCCCGACGCTGCCCCTGACCGTCGGCCACCGCGGCCCAAGGAACGACCCGAGCACAAGAGCCTCTTCTGAGCTCACGGTGGCCCTGCTTCCAGCGTCTTGGCGGCCTCCTCCACCTCATCCTCCTCCGCCTCCGCCTCCTCCTCTTCCTCCTCTGCCTCCGCCTCCGCCTCCTCCTCCTCCTCCTCATCCACCTCCACCTCCACCTTCTCCTCCTCTTCCTCCTCCTCCTCCTCCTCCTCCTCCTCCGCCTCCTCCTCCTCCTCCTCCTCCTCCTCCTCCCCCTCCTCCTCCGCCTCCTTTTCCGCCTCCGGCTCCTCCTCCTCCTCCTCCGCCTCTGCCTCCTCCTCCGCCCTCCGCCTCCTCCTCCTCCTCCTCCTGAGCCGAAGCTGGCCCTGCCCAACCAGCCGACACCCGCCGCCCGTCCCGAGGATCGGATCGGTGGCGGCTGGCGCGCACCCCCTCCTCCGCGTGCGGCGGTGGCCCGTCCAGGGGATCCCCGATCTGACCGCGGCCCAGTTCCGCAGCCTCGAAGCGGAGCAGCAGAGGCTGGCGGACATAGAAATGTGCCTTGAATCCATGGTGAACAGCGTGGCCACCAGCCAGGCTACACTGGTCCAGGTATGCCACCAGCTCGAAAAAAAGATCGCCTCCGCCCAGGCGGACAAAACCGGGCCTGAGTGACAAAGACGTGATCTGACGACGTGGACGACGAACGGAAACCCCTGCGACGAGGCGGACGCGTGTCCATGCGACGAGTGGGACCCCTGCGACGAATGGGACTCCAACGTGCCAAGTAGCGCGATGGCCCGGTCGTATGGCGTCGGGAATGAGCCTGAAACAATCAGGGCAAACGTAAGACCCACCAGGGCCGACGCGCTCGCTACACCGCAGGCCTCGCCCCCCCCCTCCCACCCGTGGGCGAGGTAACGGTCATCAACCAAGTAAGGACCCCCATTAACGGCCAACACGGCGCTGTCATTGGCCGCAAAGGGGGAACAGCACCAGCACTGGGTGGTCCTGCTGATCCCTCGCTCCCCACAGAAGCCGAACCTCCCGAGGAGGCCAAACAGGCGTGAGGTAACACTCCATCAACGTCAGGGCCCAGGTCAACAGAGACGTCAGCCTCGTCGACTGCGAGGCCCACGGCTGAGCCACCAGACCGGCCTGCGCACGTGCGGAAGCCCGTGCCAGCGTCTGAACTCTCACCGCCGATGCCAGCCGTCGCGCCACCGACTGTGACACCGACAAGGCTCAAGCTCACCCTGGGACTTGGCCCGCGGCAGTGCGGGCGCCTTCGCAAGCTCCATGAATACCGGTGCGGACGGCAACCCCCTGCCAGTTCACCTCTCCCCGCGAGGAGCGTTTGGCGGAACTGCTGGCGGAAAGTGCGGCGGGACGTTTTGACGGAAAAGTTGGCGACGCGTTTGGCGGGACGGTTTGGTCGAAAGTCTGGCGGAACATTCGGCGGAACGGCTTGGCGGGACGGTTTGGGTTTGGCCGATCTTTTGGCGGGGCGTGCTGCCGGAACGTTTGGCGGGGAGCTCGGCCCGGCCTTTGAACCCCGCCGTTGCCTGGGCCCGTTGGATTCGCGCCCCATGCCGGCGCACTGTTTCAACGTTGCCACTGCGAACATGTCCTCAATCTCCAAGGAGCTCCCGAGTCTGCCCCAGAAGGCACCGAAAGGCCCCCAAGAGGCTCCCCAGGGACTTCATCAGAGGCCCGACGCGCCACGCGCGCCAGCCTCCAGCGCCCCATGGAAGATCCGCCACCCAGACTCATGCGCTGGCACTGTGGCAGAACTTGCCGCGGGCAGCTGGGCATCGGAGTTGAAGAGGCACGCGCTGGGCACGCGCTGGGAAATCAGCAATATCCAATGGTGCTAGGACCGACGCCAGCTGCGATGGGATCGCGATGGCGCTGGCAACGTCAACAGCAGCACATCCCGCCGTCTCGCCAACACACCAACAGCATCAGTGGACAGAGCCATCTTGGGCCGTGGATTTGAGTTCGCGCCATGCCCGCGCACGCGAGGATCACGCGCCAACCCAAGGCCCAGGAATGCGTCGGCCACTCATGGCAATGATCTGCCCGATGCATTGGGGGCGGATGGGCGTGGGCGGTAAAGGGCAACCGCACGAAACACTCAGAACACGCCCAAGAGGTTCCCATGGGGGCTCGAACAAACGCGCGCCCAAAATAACCACCTCACGGGTTTCATGAGTTTGCGTCCGCCTCGGCCCAAGACTACGCGAAAACGCAAGGACACGGCCCAGAACCGCCCTAACTAACGCTGAGCCCAAAGTCAAGGCAAATGCTGGGCGTCAGCGCTACGATCACGGATGGCCTGGCAGGAACAGGTCAACGCGATCGCAACTTCCCAGTCCCGCCCATCCTGCACGTCCGCACTGACTTACGACACCTCGACCTTGCGCCCATGCTCGACCTGGCGCGCCAACGTCCGCGCAGTTGCCCCCGTGCTCTCCCCTCGCTCGCACGACCTTCGGTCGAAGATGGGGAGGAGGAGAAGGAGGGGGAGGAGGAGGAGGAGGAGGGGGAGGAGGAGGGGGAGGGAGAGGCGGGGGAGGAGGAGGCGGGGGAGGAGGACGAGGAGGAGGCTTCGCACAGAAGTGATCCTGGCGCAACTCTGTCGGACCTCGTGGCGAGCGCAATACGCGGGGAGGCGCGTGCGCTCGCCTGGCCAACCCAAGGTTGGGGGGGTAGCGGACGAGAAACGGCAAGAGGACAGCACGGAGGTGACATGGGAAGGCAGACGACGGGGAGGGAAGGAGGACAATGGGGGACGGGGAGGAGAACAGGAAGGGAGAGATCGTGAGGGACAACGAATGCATGAGGGAGCCCCCCCAAAAAACTGGACCGCGGGATCTGGGGTTCTCGGGCTCCCTTGGACGTCTTTGGAAAAGGTCACCCGGCTTTCCGGGTCTCCACAAACGCCCTCCCAGCAGACCCAGAGCGATCCGAGGGGTCATCAGAAAGGCTCAAGGGAGGCCCCAGACAGCACAAGAGCGCTCCAAGAGGGACTCAAATTGCGTCAGGACGGCCCGAAAGACCCCCAAGGCACCCCAAAAAGCTTTCCAAGGGGCCTTCAAGACACAAGCATCGTCCCATTCCCTTCGTAAAACTTACAATTTTAGCATATTCGCCTTCCGGATTTCATCAGCTTTCAAAACGGTTTCAAAGCCCCCGAGATCGCCTGCAGACGCTTCAAAAGGCCCCCAAGAAAGCTTCAAAACGGCCGAGCCGGGCCCCACGATCGCCCACGAGAGCCACAAGACAGCCCGTAATGGAACCAAGAGGCCCCCCAAGGGCTCCCAGCACATACCCAAAAGGGCCATGGGAGGTCCCCGGAAGTGCCCAAGATGAGTTCAAAGGGGGCTCCAGCGGGCCCAAGCTCCCCAAGACGGCCCAAGAAGGCCCCAGGACGGCTCATGAAGGCGCCAAAACGGCCCACGAGGGCCCCGAAAACACCCCCACGATGTTTCCGAATGCCAACATAAAAGACCCCCAAGGCACCCCAAAAAGCTGTCCTAGGGGCCTTCAAAACACAAAAATCTTTCAATTCCTTTCGTAAAACTTACAATCTTAGCATATTCGCCTTTCGGATTTCATCAGCTTTCAAGACGGTTTCAAAGCCCCCGAGATCGCCTCAAGACGCCCCAAAAGGCCCCCAAGAAAGCTTCAAGACGGCCGAGCCGGGCCCCACGATCGCCCACGAGAGCCCCAAGGCAGCCCATAATGGAACCAAGAGGCCCCCCAAGGGGTCCCAGCACAGACCCAAAAGGGCCATGGGAGGTCCCCGGAAGTGCCCAAGATGAGTTCAAAGGGGGCTCCAGCGGGCCCAAGCTCCCCAAGACGGCCCAAGAAGGCCCCAGGACGGCCCATGAAGGCGCCAAAACGGCCCACGAGGGCCCCATGTGTATGCGAACCCATAGTTACATACATGCGTCTAATTCTATATGTACATATGGGCGTGCACCGACAAAGCACGTACGAGTTGCATCTGCATGTTCATACCTTTACACACATAAATTTATATGTGCATATGCACGCTGTATACACACATACAACAATGTAAGTATATGGTAAACACCTAGACATTTATAAGGAAAATGATGCACGTGCGCGTGTATACATGCATGCGCGCATGCGCGCATGTACGCACGCACGCATTCCGCTTGCGTGCAGAACTGGAAGGACCAAGGTGCATGGCGCGCAGCGCCAATGCAGTCTTGTATATATATATATATATATATATATGTCTGTATATATGTCACAGGGGAAAGAGAGAGACAGAGAGAGAGAGAGAGACAGACAGATAGAGAAACAAAGAAAGAACGAACGAAAGAAACATCGCACCAGTTCTGGCGGAAGGCTCCTCCAGGCGCGCGGGAGCAGGCTCCCGGGGCACCCGCCACAGCCACTTGTGGCGGGAGGTGCCGCTTGCGAGAAGCAGGGGTGGGGATACTACCCCCCCCCCTTGGAGCACGACTGGGCTGGAAATCAAAACATCGCGATGTGGCAAAAAGGGCGAGACTCGCCCCTCCTGCACGCCCGCGGACAGAGAGGCACTGGCTTCAGACACGCTGTTGGTTTCGACTCATTGGTACGACCTCAAGGATGCCCAGCCGCCAGCACATCATCAGTTTTCTGTAAGGGATTCAACAAGTAAGTATGCAGGTGTTCCAAGGTGTATTTCTACAGTACATCGGCATGGACATGATGTGCGTCGTCTTCGAATCTGTCGTGGGTTTCTTCTATCGCCGTGCGGTTCTTGGATCTTGCGTCAGTGCCGCAGAAGGGCTTCGCATGATAGCGTCGCGAGATATGATGATGGGCTCGTCTGTTGGGTCGGCGCATCTGCCAGCTTCGGTTGCGTCGGAATGTGTTCTCGTTGTTTGCGCGCGTTTTCTTTACACGATTGTTCGGGTGCGTCGTTCAGTGTGTCTTTCGTGTTCTTGCGCGGCCAGGTTGGTGGCAACCGCTGCGACCAACGGTCGGCTCGTAAACAAAAAAGAGGGTGGAATGACGGAAGCATGAGGGCGAATGAGAGGGGAGGGAGAAGGTGGGTAGAGGTGGCGGAAGGGGAGGGGGCATGCGCAAGCGGAGGAAGAGGAGGAGGGGGAGGAAGAGGGATAGGGGCAAGAGGAGGAGCAGGGAGACGAAGAGGAGGTTGAAGAGGAGGATGAGAAGGAGCAAGAGAAAAAGGCTGCCCAGGGCTCCCGACCGCCGCCAAAGTTCCTTCTTCCATCGTCTCGTCGGTTCCTGCTCTTGCCACATCCCCCGTGCTCCATCCCTCCCCCTTCTCCTCGCTGTCCTTCTTTCTCCCCAGTTCTTCCCCGAGGGTTTTCCCCCCCCCCCCCCGGGCTTGTAAAATATAGGGAGAGGAATATGTGTATATATATATATATATATATACACAAACGCGCCTTACATGACCAGCCCACCTCCCATGGCGGGCCTCCCTGGCGCGCGGTCGCCAAGTCCAGGATCGGGGGAGGTGCCCTCCCCCAAATGCGGCCGGCGCCGCCTCGTTCGGCGGCGGGAATCCGCGATGTCCTGTGGAAGCTGGACCCGTCGCTAATCCACGCCCCCTTGATCCATGTTCGCGATCGCCTGATAGAGGCCTCCTAGATGGGGTCCGAGTAGATGGGGTCGAAAGATTGCGCCGCGTCGCCAATGCATCGCCGATATGAAAGCGATGCGATGGCCATGCATCGGCGACGTCGACGTTGCATCGGCGACGTCGGCGTGGGGAAGCACGGTATCCTCATCGAGCCGCATCGCCGATGCATCGGCGGGGCGGCGCGATCCTCCGACCCCATCTACTCGGACCCCATCTTGGGGAAACCAAGAGGTACCGATACTGCTACTCCCCGGATCTCTCTCGGGGTGCGTTCTGACCAGAATTTCGAGGCGAATCCAGCGGTGGCGACTAGGGCCGCCCAGGAGGCCCAACGAGGGGAAAACTGGGAAGGGGTAGAGGTATGGGTACCATCTCCTCCTCCGACACTCGGACCCCATCTAGGAGGCCTGGATCCCACCCGAGCCCATCCCCCCGCCCAGCGCTGCGCCTCACACGCGGCGGTCGCAAAACCCGGCCCGCTGGGCCGCACCTGGTCTGGAGAGCGGGCGGCCGCTCCTCTGGGCAGCAGCGGGGCCTGCCTGGGGCAGCGGGCCCAGGCCTCCGACGATGCGTTCTTGCTTCCAGTCCCTGCGTCTTTGGGGGGCCCAGAGCTCCAATCTCCAAACTCCTCCTCCTGCTCCCCCTCCTCCTCCTCCTCATCCTCCTCCCCCTCCTTCTCCTCCTCCTGCTCCTCCTCCTGCTCCCTCCTCCATCCATTTGTTCAAGTATTCCCTTTTATACATTTTTACAATCCAGGCGGAACGCGAAAGGGGCCCCCCCCCAAAAACCGGACTCCCGGGATCTGGGGCTTTGAGACCCTCTGGACGGGCCTCGAAGCGGCTCCCCGGGCCTCGCAGGGCCTTTTGCCAAGCCTTCCCAGCACACCTAAGGCGATCAGGGGGGTCATCGGAGACGTCCCAGAGACCCCCAAGACAGCACAAGAGCGCTCCAAGAGTGACCGACGTGACCTCCAGATGGCCCAAGAGGCCTCCAGGACGGCCGCAAAGAGGCCTCCAAGAGCACCCCCAAGAAGGCCCCAAGAGGCAACAATCATTGATTTTCTGTTGGTTTTTGGTGAATTTAGGGGTTCTCCTCTTTTCGGCTTCTCGGCGCTCCAAGACGGCGGTCTTCTGGGCGTCCGAAGCCGCCTGGGAGGCTCCCAAATCACCCCACAGCCATCCGAAAAGGCTTCCGGGCAGTCCAAGAGAGCCCCAAAACGGCACAACTCGGGTCCAAGATGGCACTCAGAGAGCCCCATGGCGGCCCAAAATGGGCCCCAAGACACCCTCCGAAGCATTCCAAATCGTGACAGGGTCGTTCAGGGAGACCGCGGTTGGAGGCAGGGTGGCCCGAGGAAGCCCCCAGAGGCCCCAAGAATACGCGCCTCCAGAAAGCCTTTAGAAAGCCTGAAACAACTTTTGTGAGGCCCCCAGAGGCTCTCCAAGGAAGAGCCTCCGCAAAAAAGAGCTGCGGATGATGGGGAGAATGCGCAGAGTATGGCGAAAATGAAGAAAAGAAGCATGGAGGAAAAATGACGAATAACATTATTATAGCAGCGATGCCGGAAAAGGCAACAAGGAGTTATCGCTAAACTGTCAGCTTGACCTTCCTGCTATTCCGCCTGCACACCACACTTCAAGGACCGAGGTGCATGGCGCGAAGCGCCACTGCAGTCTTGTGTATATATATATATATGAAGATGTAGATTCCTGTCGCTCCCCCGAGCGCGTCCGCAGGGCGGGCCAGGTGTGTCGCCTGAGACGTCATCACCACCTCTGACCCTGAAGCCTGACATGCGCAGCGGCTTCAATGGTGGGAGGGCGGGTGGTCCTCCGAGTGTGGCTCTGGCTCGGGCGCCGCGCACAGTGGGCACACTTCCTCTGGAGGGTCGAGGACTGCCGCTTTTCAGATGGCGCTCTCGCCTCAGCGCCGCGCGCATTCGCCTTACAAGCTTGCAACCGTTTCAAGGATGTGGGGGGGCTCCTTTTTCAAAATGTGGCTCTTGAATTAGCGCCGCGCGCATTCTACTTACAAGTTCGTAGCCGCTTCCAATATTCGTAAGGTTGAAGTACCAGGAATGGTGTTCTGCCAAGATTTTGTGATTGTCAGAACACAGCAGTCAAGTTGATTCGCCGTGTTGACCTCCCAGGAACAAGGATGCTGGCACGGTTTGGGACTGGCAGGACGCATCGGTGACGTTGGTACGCGGCGTTGGAGTCCCAGACATTGTGTTTTTGTTTGGCTCGATGGAGGATTATCCGAAGGTTTTCTTTCAATGGGGCACTTCACGCAATGAAGCTGAATTCTTGTAGAGACCTATATCTTGGAGGGCGGCTTCATTGCAACGTCGTTGACGCGTCTTGGGTTTACACTGGTCCTCCTCCTCCTCCTTCTCCTTCTTCCCTCATTATTTCATCTTCTTCCCTCCTCCCTCCTCCCTCCTCCCTCCTTCTTCCTTTCTCCCCCGTCCTCCCTCGATCTGAGCATCCAAAGCCCGTTATCGCACCCCGGGGCCGTCAACCGTATATCGCGGACGAAAAACTACGGTGACGAACTTGTGCTCAGCGTGTCGCGGCGGTGGCCCCAGCGACCTGCCGTGCCGTGCAAGCGGATCGCGCGTCGCTCCGCTCCGCGGGGCTGGAGGCCTGGGAAGGCTCGGGGACGTTGACGCTGGGGGACCGGGACGTCATTAGCGTGCCGCTCCGAAGCGTGGTGGGCCAAAACCTGCGGCGTCACATGCTGAGCTAGAATTCCTGACCGTACCCTGGGGACGGGTTCGGGGCCTCCAGGGCCCCTGGGGATACCAAAAGGCACCGATACCGCTACTCCCCGGACCTCTCCTGGGGTGCATTCTGGCGAGGCGAATCCACCGGTGGCACAAGAAGACTCCCAGGCGGCCCACAAAGGCGACATCGAGGCAAGGGTAGCGGTAAGGGTACCTTTTTCTCCTTGGAACCTCGCGCTGGAACAACACGCATCGTCGGACGACTGGAGAGAGGGGAGGAGCGGGAGGGAGGGGCAGCAGATGATCGTGGGCGACAAACACACATCTGCATCCGCGGGCCTCGCGGGCCAGGCCCCTGGGCCGCGACAGCGCGGACACGGAGGGCCTTCGCGCGGAACGTATCCGCACCTGCGCGCATCCACGGGAGCGCGCTCTGGAACTCGAACCCCGAGGGCGTGGATATGGATACGCTCGCCGCTCGTGAGCAGAGGGGTCGAGGTTCGGGGGTCCAGGTTCTCTTCGGCGTCGTTTGCCCTCCCTGCCGCTCCCCGGAGAGCCTCTGGAGGCCCTGGGATCGGAGGCCTCGGAGAACTCCCATGAGGCCCTCGGGTCTCTCCAGAGAACGGGGGGTACGGCTGCCCAAATCACAAACTGTGCGGGATTGTCGCTTGATGCAAAAAAAAATGTTGGGCCCAACTCGGGGACATACGATGGGAAGGGCGTCCAGGGACCCCCAGGGAAAGTGCACCCCTGAGTTCCCCCTATCTTGTGCAAGGAGTTTGGGGATTGGGGGGGAGAAAGCGCCTGCGACCAGAAACCTCCTCCGACAAGCATCGGGGAGACTTACGTCTCGAGCTTGGGGGGACACGAGCTGGCCTGGCGCGGCCGTCAGAACCACCACGGGGTCCTGCCCGACATTTGACGCAACCCCCCGCTGCAAACCTCTCACGACAACTGGACCGCCCACATGCACGCCAGGACCGTGACAAGAGCGGAGGCAGGGAGCCCGAGCCCCGGCTAGCCCGAGGCTCCTGCCAACTCGAGTCTGGCGCCTTCCCGTGGTAATTAAGGCTTCGGGCCGCGTGCAGCGACAGCCTCCCCAACCCCCGACGCCATGGTTTTCTCCGGACGTCGACCCCAAAGTGTCGACCTGTTCCCCGGGACCGACTTCTCATCGCGAGTCGTTGTTTGACGGTCCCGAGGCCTGGGGAGGGCCCCCGAGGCCGAAAGTGGCGAACCCCCCCCCGTCGTGATTTTCTCACTGCTCGAGGGGGTCTGGGTCCCCAGGTATGGCCCCGGGCCGGCCTCCACGCCCCGACCCCGGGGCGCGGAGCGCCCCATGGGGCGGCGCCGGAGGCGGCGCCAGGGTGCCGAGACCGCTCCGCAGGCTGCTGGGCAGACCTGCCGGGGCCGGGTGGGACTCCTCGGGGGGCCCGACGAGGCTGCCCTTCTAGGTCGGGCGTGTCCTCCTACAGGTGGATTCTGGACAAAAAAATCAAAAGATCAACAAAAACAAAACAAAAAAGGGGGAAACAAAATGTCTCCGGACTATGTTATACTATTTTTGCATATTCCTCCTGTATACAGGGACATGCCCGGCTTGATTGAGGCCACCTTCGGGGGAGGCCGTCCTGTGCGCTCTCCGAGGCCCCAGCGAGCATCTCCCCCGGGAGGAGCGGCGGCAGGATGGGAGGCGGGCTCTACACGCCCGGCGGCGCCCCCGGCGGGCCCCACGGCGCGCCCCGCGCGCGCCGGCAGAGGGGGCTTATATAGGGAGGAGGCCCGGCGCGCGGGGGCGGCCGCCCTCCTCGGGCCCGTCTGCGCGGGGCGGGCGCCGCGCGCCCGCGGCCCTGCCGCGCGCCCGCTCAGGAGGGGAAGTCGTCGTCGCCGAAGACCATCTCGTCGTCGCTGTCGCCGTTGTCCTCGGGGAAGAGGCCCCTGGCGCGCAGGAAGTTGTTCGCCTCGAGGATCATGGGCTCCCGGATCTTCAGCGGGAAGACGCCCTTGTCGGGATCGGCCTTGACGCAGCCCATGCACACGCTCTTCGACGCCTCCTTGGTCACGGTTCCGCTGAACAGGGAGAGCGCCTTCTCGAGCCACTCCTCTCGAGCGACCCTGGGCAAGGATGCCCTTCGGTGCGCGGCCTCAGCGGGCCGCTGGAGGGGCCAAATCTGAGCGCGCAGGCCAGTGCCCCAGACCCCCGACGTCGCGTTTTCGTTTCCCCCTAAAAAAAACGTGTGACTACCTACCAGACCACCCCAACCCAACCCGAAGACTCGAATTTCGGGTTGGGGGGGGTAAGGGTTCCACACGTGTTTTTTCGATGTTTCCCGACCCCCCCCCACTGGAAATCGAGGGTAAATCTGAGCCTTCGGGTTGGGTTGGGGTGGTTTGGTGGGTGGTGAACGTGGGCTTCCGGACATCGCTGCACTTTCCTTGGGACTTGCTGTCCATCCTGGCTCGTTTTCCATCGTGATTTTTTTGCGACGCCGGGAGGGCAGAGACTGGGGGGACCCCTGTGGGCCCGCATCAAAGGTCACCGCTGCGTAGGGTCACTCTTATGCGTAGCCGGTCCTTGCAGTTGAGCTCCCCCAGCTTCTCCTCTGGCACGTAGGCGCACACGGCCAGCTGCTCCGTGCCGCAGGAGAAGATCATCTTCCCGATGTGGCCAGAGCCGCCCTTTCGCTCCTAGGAAACTACAACATCAACCCAAGACCTTCAAAGGCCCGCGTGGATTTCTTGGGTCTGCGCTGGACCCCCCTCCATGGCGCGCGGAGCGCGCCAGGGACGGCGCTTGAGGCGCCGCCAGGAAGGTCCCAGCGCGAATCCGAGAAATCCCCGCGGAACTCCGAAATTTCACGGTCGGGATTGTTTGCTTAGCGTGTCGCCACGCGTCACGCTACGCCGTGCCGGCGGATGATGGCGTGTCGCTCCGCTCCGCGGGCCGGGGGGCTGGGAAACGCTCGGGACGTGGACGTGTGGGAAGAGGACGGGGGGGGGCCTGTCTGGGGTCACATAGTCGTATGTTATGAGTATTGGCATTCGCCTGTGGATACCCTCCTTGAAGTAAGGTGTCACGCACGGTAAAGTAGAGGGGGCGGGTTCATGGCGAAACGTGGGTTCAAATTCAGGCCTGGTCCCACGCAGGGTTTTCAATCTTGGCCGCGTCCTTCCTGCAGTCCTGCCCTCTTCTAGTCACGCGATGTCGGATTCTGAAGTCTGGGCTCTGCGCTTCCCGCCGAGAGACCCGCGAGCCAACTTCCCCCCCCCACCGAGGCCCCAGCTTGAGGGTGGCGCCTGTTGACTGCGGGGTGCTGCTCGCCCTGTGGGCCCTGCCTCCTGCCGCGCCACGGCGCGACCGTGGCGTCGTTTTTGGCTCTTGGGTGCCGCTCGCCGTGGCCCCAGCTCGGAGATGGCCTTTTTCAGCTCCCAGGTGCCGCTCGGCAGACGGACCCGCTTTGCCATAGGCGCCCCCCCCGTGCCTCTGTGGGCGCCCCGCGGCGCCACGCGCAAAACCCCGGGGCCCGCCAGCGCCAAACCACGCGGACCTCCCGTCGCCTCGTGGACAGTTCCGCAGGCTCGGCGGAGCCCCCGGGGCCCCTGGCCCAGAGGTGGCGACCCTCGATTCTCGGGTGCTGCTCGCCTCGGCGGCCCACCCGCACACTGGGCCCCCAGCCCGAACACAGCGCCTCGTTGATTTTCCTGGGCGAAGCTCGCCACGGGGACCCACCCGCCCCCAATGGCCCTCGGCGCAGAGACGGCGTCACTTTGATGCCTGTCTACCGCTCGCTGCGGGGCGCCGCTCGCCGTGAGGAGCCCACTTCCTTGAAGTGCCCATGGCAAGGCACCGGTTCTAAATTCTTCTTCCCCTGGCCAGATCAGCGCACGTAGCCCTAAGATGATCCCCACCTCCTCGCTTGGGGGCTGGGACAAGGACAGCGTGCCGCGCCGCAGCGTGGTGGGCCAGAACTGGCAGCGCAACACGCAATTCAAACGTTCCCGACCGTATGCTTCTGCCGCTTCATATTATTAGCATTCGTATTATGATTCATAATAGCATTAGCATTCTCACTGTTTATAACCATTATTCTTATTTGTTTCATTGTTATTCTTATTCTTGTTATTATTACCATACTTATCAATCTTACTATTCGAGCTCCTCCTCCGTGGGGTCGCTCTTCTCGTTCATGGCCTCCATCGACTTCTCGAGCAGCTCCAGGTCCCCGTCAGGCTCGTCCACGGCGGTGCAGAAAAACTGCAGGCCGCCCATGTCGGCCGCGCCCTCGATCTCCACGCCACGCTTACCACCCTCCTTCCACACCTGGAAAGGAAGGAAAGGTGGGATAGTGGCAGAGGTGGGGTTCACGGAAAGTACATCAAAATGGCTCCTGGATGGAGACATCGCGAGCCTCCAGCTGGGCTCGTTCTCTAAACCCACCCTGGGATACCCCCCCTCTGCGAACCCCCGAACACCTTCTTCAGCTTCTTCTTCCTCGCCTCCTCGGGGTCCTCGGCCGGCTTCGCGTCTTTCTTGTCCTCCTTCTTGGCGGCCTCCTTCTTCGGCGCCGCCTCCTTCTTCGGCGCCGCCTCCTTCTTCGGCGCCGCCTCCTTCTTCGGCGCCGCCTCCTTCTTGGGCGCCGCCTCCTTCTTGGGAGCCGCCTCCTTCTTGGGGGCGGCGCCCCCCTTGCCGCAGAGGGCCACGGTCCCCAGGACGCTGGCGAACTCGGGCTGGGCCGTGCACAGGCTGAACCACCGCATGACGTTGCCGAACGGCTTGCGGAACTCCTCTCGGCTGCACGCAAGAGCGAGTCTGAGCAAGAGTGGCCCTTGGTGCGCGGCCTTTTTGGGGGGCCACAGGGGGGGACCAAACTGGGGCGCGCAAGCCGCTGCTCCTGCTTAATTTCCAACCATCTGGGGACCCATCTGTGCCCGCACCAAAGGTCATTCCTGTGAAAGGTCACTCTTGCGTCGAGTCGATCCTCATCAAGGACCAGCTTCATGCCGTCCACCAGGGCGCAGCAGACGGAGATGTCGGCCAGGGTAATGGTGTGCCCCACCATGTAGGTGTTGTGCAGGAGATGGTTGTTCAGCACGCTGAGAGCCCGCTTCACGTCCTCCTTGGCGCACGCCGTGGCCTCGGGGACCTCCTCGAACACGCCCATCTTCGGCAACACCCACGTGCACAGCGGCACCTCCAGCTCGTGGGTGCAGAACTCGATCCAGGAGTCGATCATGCCGCCCTCCAGGAGATTCTGACCGTAGAGGGCCACCTGTAGGTGGACAGCAAAATACCGGTACTGCTACTCCCCAGACCTCTCCTGGGGTGCGTTCTGACCAGAACTGTTAAGAAAATAAAGCCGTGGCGACGAGGGCTCTCCAGGACGAGCAGCGGTATCGGTGTCGCTTCCTCATCTGAACCTGGCGGTTGATGCGAGAGATGTAACGCGCAATGGCCGCGCTGGAAAATATGCACCCCTGGGGCGTCTCGAGCACCTGGAGGCCTCCCAGATGAGGTCCGAGTAGGTAGGGTCGGAGGATCGCGCCGCATCGCCAATTCATCGCTGATGCATCGGCAATGCATCGGCGACGTCAGCGATGCCTCGCCGCCGTCAGCGTGGAGAAAGCTGGGCGTTGCACGTCGAGCCGCATCGCCGATACACTGCCAATGCGGCGCGATCTCCCGACCCTACTCGGACCCCACCTGGTAGGCCCAGAGAAGGGCGAGTGCTAATGGGGGGTGGCCGAAATGGGGGGTGGAGAACAGGTCCCTGCAGGGGCCCTTTTAGGGCCACTTTTGGTCGCCAACTGGCTCCAAAAGGGGCCCTAAAGGGCCCCTCTAGGGCCCGTTTCTTCACCCCCCATGCTGGTCCCCCCCACTACCACCCGCCCGACCAGAGCACCGGAATCTTCCCCGTCTGCTCCGCGGCGGTGGCGGCCGGGGGGGTCTCGACCTCGAGCCCCACGTACTTGGCGGCGATCATCGCCTATCGGCGGCGAGGCCGGCCGGCGCCAAAGAGGCCAGGCCCGGGGCCGCCAGGGCGCGCGGCACGGGGTCCAAGCGGAGACGAGACCCCCCCGCGGAGGCCCAGGAGCGGACCCGGACCCCCTCGGATCTTGGACAGAGGCCTCCTAGAGGGGGTCGGAGCAGATGGGGTCGGAGGATCGCGCCGCATCGGCGATGCATGGGCGACGCCAGCGTGGAGAACAGTGTGCTCCACATCGAGCCGCATCGCCGATGCGTCGACGATGCGGCGCGATCCTCCGGCCCCATCTACTCGGACCCCATCTAGGAGGCCTAGAATGGAAAAAAGGCGACGGACGGTGTTTGAGCTTCATGGTTTCAGTTCTCTCGGGGCCCAGACGACGCTGGGAGGCTGTTGCTGCTCCACCTCCACGCAGCTTCACCCGCCGCGCCTCGCGATGCGCGGCGCGCGGTCATCCTTGCACCCCCGCAGCGCCACCAGAGGGCCGGCCCAGCAGCCCCAAGCTTCGACGCGCGAGGCGCAGCTACTTTCGGGCTCCTGGAGGGTGACCCGGCTGGCCCATCCCCGCCCACGGCAGACTCGATGTCCTCCACCCCTTGCTCATGCTTCCTCGTCGTCGTCGTCCTCCTCCTCCTCCCCCGGCGACGGACGGTCTTGAGCTTCGTAGTTTCAAATCTCTGGGGGCCCTGACGGGGCCTCGTGGACCGTCAAAAGAGACTCCGTCCGCCGAGGAGGACACCGCGGCGTCCGGAACCCTGCGGAATGGGGGCGCCGTGAGGACGCCAGGGGTGGATCGGCGTGCGCGTCGGGGGCTGTCCAGCCTGGGGCTCAGTGCCAGCGGCGCCAGACCCCCTCGCGTTGCGAAAAAATCATGACGGGAGGTTTTTCCACATGTTTGGTCTCTGGGGGCCCTTCCCGGGCCTCGGGACCGTCAACAACCATTCAGGATGAGAAGCCGATCCTGGGGAGTAGGTCGAGACCTTCGGGGGTGGACGCTATGAATAAAGCATGACTTCGGGGGGATGGGGCCCCGGATCGGCAGGGGACCCCCCCGAGCCTGGCCAGCTTGCTGGCCTCTGGAGGGCTAAATGGCGAGTCGGAGATTGATCCGTATGCACCGCCTGGGGAACCGACGTCCGGGTACCCCTGGGGGCGGCGGGTATGGACGTCTGGACAAACATATTGTTGGGCCCACGGGGGCCCCGAAGATGTCCATGTCCGCCGCCTGTCCAGGTCACCGAAAATCGATCCCCCAGGTAGATGGTCATGGATGAATCCCCGCATCGCACTCTGGAGTGCCAAGTCTGGTTCGGGGAGACGTGAGACTCAGATTTGGAGATTCGGGTTGGCATGACGGGGCCGCTAGGAAACTGACGAGACCAAGTCTGAAGCTTGACGCGAGTTCCCACTGCAGACATACAACAAACATTAGTCCAGGACGGGCCCGTCAAAAAACGTCGGCAAAACCGAGTTCTCGCGAACTCGAGTCTTACGTTTCCCCGACTGGTTGCCCCTGGGCCCCACAGCCCTCAGTGAGCATCGTGTAAAACCAATCCGAGGCCCCCACTGGCGCGGCCTGAGCCCACTGGACGATTTACCCCCCTAGCCCTAGATGGGGATACAGGCTGTTTCCCTCGGGTCTCGAGGCATATATCCCCAACTGAGGTGGTGGGGTGGTGGGATGGTGGGGATCGGCATGGGGAAGGGGATGGGGATCGGCAAAACGATGCTGACTCAGGGCGGCTGATCGACCCCATGTAAACGCCAGCTACGCGCGCCGCGCCGCACAGCCCCCGCTCCAGCCCCGTGCCACGACGCGTGGACCACCAAGCATCTTTGCGCCCCCGCTTCGGGTGCCGCTACAAGTGTCCCCGGCCCAGGCTGGCCCGGATCAGCAACGAGAAGACACGGATAAGCGCCGCGGCTTGTACGGGCCACCAGCGCCGCACACCGCGCCGAGAACAGGAAGCTCACGCGCGACGCTCACGCGGGACGCTCGCGTGCGAAGGTCGGCGCAGAGTCGACCCCGCCTTCCTCCGTCGCGCAGGTGGCCCCCCAGAGCACCCCATCGCGAGGCTCCGAGGGCCCCAGGGGCCTCCAAAAGTCGGGCTGGGCGAAAGGGGGGGATCGCAAAGGGGAAGGGTGAGAATCAGCTCACGTAGCTGATTTCTTCGGCGCCTCCCGGCGCCAGAGGCGGCTATATGCATCGAGGAACGGGCCGGCCTGGGTGGGGCCGAAACCGGCTGCACGCGGCAGATTTCGTGACCCCCCCTTTCCCATTCCCCCCCCCCCCGGGAGGAGGAGGAGGAGGAGGAGGAGGAGGAGGAGGAGGAGGAGGAGGAGGAGGAGGAGCCCGAGCAAGGTGGCGAGCTGCGGGGGCAGCCCGGGCCAGGACAGCGGCACCCCCCCGCCGCCGAGGACCCCGCCGGGAGGACGGAGGAGAGGCACGCGCCGGGGCGCACCGTGCGGAGAGAGGCCACGCGCCGAGCGCACGCGTGCGGAGGGCCGGGTGGAGAGGCCCGAGCGCCGGAGCAGCGGGCGGCCACGCGCGTGCGCAGATCCACCGCTCCAGCCCGGGCGGGCCTGCAGTCGGGCCTGTCCTCCCACAGGGGGGCTTCGGAGTAGGAATAAGACATGGCCAAACATACACTAAAATGGTTGGAACAAACATCGAAAATCGTCCCCGGGCTAGTTTTGGACCATCTTTGAATGTTCCTCCTGTCGAGGGACAGGCCCGACTCAAGGCTGGCCCCGCCGTGCCGGCGACGAGGCGAAGCGGGCCTCACGCGCGATGGCACAGCGACATTACGCGGTGGCTGGCGCGGGCCGCCAGCGCGGCACGCTACGTGGCAGACGAGGGCACTTCACGCGCGACCTGCCGCGGGCAGCGTGCGCGCGGATGTCCGCGCGGCCGACCCCCTTCGTCTGCGTCGCCCATGTGCACCCCGCTTCCTGGCAGACCGGGGGGCCTTGTGCGTCTTGTAATTGCCCGGGTGTGCGTACAGCTTCATGGGCATCCCTCCCGCGTCCGCGCCTCGCGCGAGCGCCCCGCGCGCTGGGGGGTGGTGGTTGCGTATGCGAGGGTGCTGCCCCGGCGCGGGAGGGTCCTCAAGCCAAAATGGCTGAATGGTCTGCCAGGATCAGAAAGGGAACAGGGAGGACGGAGGGAGGACGGAGGAGGAAGCAGCCAACGCGTCCGACACGATCTACACGATCCGCCGCGGATCTTGGAGGAGGGAGGAGCGGAAGGAGGCGAAGAGAGAAGAATGGAAAAGGCAGGGGATGGAGGGATGAGGAGAGCCTGTGTGGCCCCCAGAGGAGAACAGAGCGGAAGAGGGGCAGCGGGAGGCGCAGAGGGGCGAGGAGGAGAGGGAGGGCGAGGTGGCGGAGAGAAGATAAGAAACTGACGCACTTCCGGTCAGTCGATGCCGAATGGGGGAGGCATCCTAGGTGGGCTCCGAGTGGGTGTGGTCGAAGGATCGCGCCGCATCGCCAATGCATCGCCGACGCATCGGCGATGCACAAGCGATGCGCTGGCGACGTGGGCGATGCGTCGGCGACGTGGGCGCGGAGAAAATCGGGCTCCCCATCGAGCCACATCGCCGATGCGCCGGCGATACGGCGCGAACCTCCGACCCCGTCTGCTCGCACCCCATCCGGGAGGCCTAGATGCGGGGGAGGAGGGGGCAGGAGGGGAGAACTGGAGAAGAGCGCCAGGGGACGGACGCGAGAACCTTGACCGAGCGGCACTGCCGCGCCGGCGAGACCACCGCCCGAGGGCCCGCGCAGCCGCCGAGGCCGCTCTCTCGGGCGGCCGGCGACCCTCGAGGCCGCCAGGCTTCGCGCGTCGCGCAGAGCGCCCATCCTCGGCGTGAGAGCGCGCGCCGCGAGAGACAGCGCCAGGGAGGGGGGGGATCCACCCCCCAGCTGCCCCCCTAGCTAACCTCCCATCTGGACATCCCCTGTCGGAGACCCCCTGCGCCCCCTCTCTTTTTTTCGCGCTCCGGAAGCCATCCCCCGCCTTTCCGGCACACCTGCCATAAGGCCCCCCCCCTTCTCGCCTTCCTCTCTGCGATCCCTGCATTCCCCTGCCAAGAGACCCCCCCATCCGAATGCGACGACGACGACCACGACGACCACGACGACCACGACTACCACGACGACCACGACGACGACGACGACAACGAGGACGACCACGACGACGACGACGACGACGGCGGCGACAGCGACGACGGCGACGACGACGACGACGACGACGGCGGCGGCGACGGCGGCGACGACGACAACGGCTACGGCGATGACGATCGACCGAGGACCGACGACCGACCACGACGACGACGCCGCAGGCCGACGACGACGACGACGACAGACCACGATGACGCCAGTCGACGACAACGACGACGATGACGAAGCCGCTCGACGAGGACGATGACGACAACGGCGACGAAGACGACGGCGACGACGACCGACGGCCGACGCCCGACCACGACGACGCCGCCGCGGGCCGACGACGACAACGGCGATGATGACGATGACACCAGCCGACGACGACGACGACGACGACGGCGACGACGACGACGACGACGACGACGACGATAACGACGACGACGACCGACGACGACGACCGACGACGACGACGACGACGGCGACGCCCGCCCTAATCTTTAAGCACAAAACTCGAATCAAGAGCCCAGGCCCCGAAGACCTAGTTAGACCCTTCGCCCAAATCCCTGGCCCGAATCCCTGGCCCTTCGCGCTCAATTCATTAGCTCTGTGACCTGAATAGAATGATTTTCTGGAACCAATAATCTGTTCCGCTTGCGGTCCTTTGCAAAAACACACGATGCGGTGCACATCAGCGGATCTCAACAGCACGATCCTAATGACGTTTTTCCTTGCAAGCTACGATGCGGTGCACATCTGATAATCTTGACATCGCCTTCGCAGGCCTTCAACCTCCAATATCATATTCACATACTACGAGGTCGGCACGCCCACGGGGCAAACCTTTCACGATGGAAACATGTGCCGCTCACGATGCTGTGTGAAAGCAAGGTGCACATCTGTGGATTTCAACATCACTTTCTCAACTTTCATCCCTCACGGTCCTATCCGCATGATGTGGAATTCTGCACACCCCCAGCGCAAACATTTCACGATGGAAACCTGTGCCGCTAGCGATCCCCTGTAACAGAAAACAAGCGGTGTACACCGGCTGATCTCAGCATCGCCCCCCCAAACCTTCAGCCATCACGACCCTGTGCAAATTCGCCGATCCGGCGTGCGAGCTGTAAAAAACAGAGGCCTGATCTTCAGCTCTTCTGAAAGTGTTGGGGTGGCTCTGCCTGGGCAGCAAGGGAAGAGGGGGAGGGGGGAGATGACTGCTAAATTTTTCGGGGCAAGGGCCGAGGTCAGGGCCGGGGCCGGGGCCCGGGCAAGTGCCTGGGGGTCCCCGGTACAACCCCAAAAGGCTCCAGGCGGGGCACCCAAGCGGCCCAAAGAGTCACTTAAGACGGCACCCCGGATCCGTCAGACGGGCCAATCGCCTCCGCAGGACGGCCCAAAGGGAGGCCCCCAACATGCCCCCCAGGGCCCCAGGAGGCTCCCAGAGGGGCTCCCAGGATGCTTCTAGGAAGCCCCAGGTAGTCCTCAATCAGTTTCCCCCCTCGCGTCCTCACTTTCTCCCCTTCCTCCTCCTCCTTCTCCTCCTCGTTGTTTTCCTTGCCGCGCGGAAGCAGACAATGTCGCGACCATGACCCCCCCAGTTCATGTCACTTGCCGAACTGCCGCGGGGCGTGAACTCGACCTCCTTCCTACCGCGCGGACGAAGACGATGTCGTGATCACGACCCTCCCCGCTTCAGAACATTCGCTGACCTGTCGCGGGGTGTGAACCCGACCTCCTTCCTACTGCGCGGACGACGACGACGTCGAGTTGACGACCTGTTCTTTTTCATGCCACTGTCGGAACTGCTCAATTCTTCGTTCTTCCTCCTGCAGGGTTGTTGCGCAAACGCGGGGGCGGGGCTTGCCGCAGGCACCTGGGTAGCGAAAACATTACATATTGATGCGTTTCGGGTAACCCTCGCCGACTCCGGTTTTGCACCCCAGCGCTCCCCAGTCTGCTCCAGGCGCTCGCAGACGCTCCCAGGCGTTCCCAGACGCTCCAATCGCTCCCCAAGCCCTCCAAGCTCGCCGTCGCCAACAACAACAGCAGCATGATCCAGATCCGCATCCTCGCCGTTCATGTCCCCGTCGCCGCAGGCGGGGTCTCGGAGCAGCTGAATCACATCGCACTGACGCGTTTGACTGCTCGGGAGGTCGATGTTCTGGGGGAGGGCCAAGAGTTCGGACTCGAGCGCGCCCCATGATCGTCCCGAGACGGCTTAGATGTGTTCGGGAAGTGCAGAGGATACAAGACCGCGTGGGCGCGAAAAGAGGATATATCGAAATGTGGGAAGGGCTTTGGGCTGGGGGACTGATCGCGCAAGCACGCAGTGAACTCCAAGCCCTAAGCTCTAAGCGCTAAGCCCTACAACGTAAGCCCTAAGTCATGAGTCCTGAATCCGAAACCCTAAACCTGAAGCCCTAAACGCCAAGCCCTAAGTAAGCCGTGGGCCCCGCGCCCTAAGCTCGAAGCTCGACGACGAGAAGGACGACGACGACCGCGGCGACGCCGACGAGGACGACAGACGACGACATCCCCGCAGACCCTGAGCCCCAAGCCCTTTAAGCCCGACGGGGAGAGCGATGACGACGGCGAAATTCCCGCAAACCCGCGGAAAAGAGAGGAGGACTTCCGAAGCCCCCCCCTGCAAAGGTCAGCTTTGACTTACACCCAGCTCTTTTAAACGGGAGGACGGGGAGGGTAGCTGCGGACCCCCCCCCCCGAACAGGCAACCCCCGAGTTCGCGAAGAGACGGGGGGATGGCTTCTGAAGCCCCCCTCCCTTCTGGGGAAAGCTAAGCCCGGGCTCGCCTTGGAAGCCCACATGGAAGGGGGGGCGCTCCCGACCCACCCCCCCCTGCAGCAAGGGGGGGGGGGGGGGGAGATTCCGAGGCCCACGCCCCCTGCAAAGGGCAGCCCGAGATTACCCCTGCGTCCCAAAAAAGGAACGGAGAGGGGGGGGGGCTTCCGAAGCCCGCACCCATCCTCTCAGATCCCCAAGGCGGGGGGGGGTAGCTTTGGAAGCATCCCGCCCATGCGGAAGGGGGGGGGTGGAAGCTGAGGCCCCCCCTTTGCTCTCCGCGTCTCCCGCAGCGCGCCCTCTCCTCGGCGCCGATGCCCAGTGCCCACCCCGACCGAAGGCGAAAGGGATCACATTCCAGCAACACACGCCCACGGCACAGCAACAACCACCCCGTGCGGGCGACCCCTCCTCTCTCGCACTAGTCCAATCGCAAATCCCTCTAAGCACAAGAGAAAGAAGAAGGGGAAGGAGAAGCGGGCTACCCCTGTTTCTGCCCCTGGGGGGCCGCACGGCGGCACGCCTGACCGCGCGACCCCTCCTCCTCAGCGCCGCGGGCCTCCCCGGGACAGACGCAGCTAGGCAAGCGGCACTGCGGATGCTGAAAAACCGACAAGAGCTGCTTGAGAACGCAGCTCAGGGCGATGCGCGCGGAGGTTTCCTCGGAAGCGGTGGCTGCTTCCACGGCGACAGAGGAAAAGGAGGCCAGAACGCGCACACACACACACACACACACACACACTCACTCACTCACTCACTCACTCACTCACACACACACGCGCGCGCAAACAAAAAACACAAGCGTGGGTCCCGACGGCCCACGAGGCGCATCGGCAGGCGCGCGCACGAGCCCTCGACCTCGGCGCAGCTGGGATCTGCGAGAAAAAGGAGGAAGGCTTTCTCGAGAAGGCAGCTGCTGCAAGGACGGACTCAGGCCCCCCGCTGGGTCCCAAATGTCGGGCACGACGCTGGCAAGATGGACGCACGTTCGGATGGGCCTGTGCGCTTCCCCTTTTCGACCCGGAAGCTCAGAGGCACGTGCAGCGCGACTTTCAGACGGAGGCCTGCTGCTGCTGGCGTCTGCGCCGGGCGGTACCTCGTGATCACGCTCGAACAACGGGGGGCAGGGGTGCGAGATGCAGCCGTTGCCACTGGATGCAGCCCTTCGTGCTGATACGGTGCTGCTGGGACACTTCTGCACAGATCTGATCGATTTCAGCTCGCGCCCCACTGCCTTCCACGCAGCATCATCGACGATTGCCTCGCGGATCACGGCGTGCTCTGCGCGCAGACGCTCCCGCAAGCGCTCCTCCCATTCAGCAGGCCTCATTGGCCGCGCGGCGCTCTCGACGCCCCGGGCCGAAGCCAGAGACGAGGCCCCATCAGCGACCAAGGCTCGGCGCAAGAGCTGCCCGTGCCTTTCGCTGACGGGGCGGACGCTCCCGCCATTGCGGGATCCCCCCCGTGCGTGCTGCCGGCCACAGGATCGTGCTCTCCGCCCCTTGCTGCGTCCCCGCTGCCGCCGCGGATGGTGGGAGCTCCGCACGCCTGGGGCGCCGCCCCGTGCCCCCATGGGCCGAGGGTGCGCACGTCCCTCCGCGCATCCCAGAAGAAGAGACGACGCCATGCACACACACACACACACACACACACACACACACACACACACACACACACACACACTTTTGGCGCTCCGCGCGGACTTCTTGGATCTGCGCTGGACCCCCCTCCCTGGCGCGCGGAGCGCGCCAGGGGCGGCGTGGAGGCGCCGCCAGGGGCCAGGGGGGGCCCAGCGCAGATCCACGAAATCCGCGCGGAGCGCCAAAAGGTTGTGTCCATGCCGCCTTCCGTTGTGCGATATCCGGCGATATCCGCTGCCTTGGGGCCGACCCGGCGAGCCACCAAGCGCGGCCCGCTCTTGGCACGACCCGGCTCGCTCGGCCTCGGCGGGCATGGCCCCGGACGCGGCGGCGCGCCGCCACACCGCTCGAGGCTGGCAGGCCGTGTGCCCGAGGCCAGCAAGGCCGGCAGCAGCGCCCGCGATAGCAACAAACGGGGCCGAGCCTGGCGCGCATCCTCACCAACCTCACCCAGCCGAGACTTGTTTGGTCAGCGGCCACGGGGCGATCACGCGGCGGTCGGGCGTCCACCGGGACGCGGAAGCGAACGCGATTGGAGCGCATCGGGCGAAGCAAGGAAAGCGCCCGACCGAGGGAGTCGGAGGGGAGAGTACGGACAACGAACAAGAGGAGAAGGAGCAAAACGTGAAGGAAGACCCTGAACACGGCGACGGCAGTGGATGATGGGCAGCGACATCGGCAGCGACATCAGCACGAATTGATGAGATTGATGACGGGGGTGGACGCCCAAGTCTGTACGGAAAAAGCCACCTAACAGCTAGCAAGCGGTTCAAAGCTCCTGCTTCAGCGTGTCTCTAGCCAAAGCCGAGCTCGCCGCCAGCTCCTCCCTGTCGGAGGAGGTGAGGGCGGAGGGGAACGCCACGCTCATTATCAGTCTGAGGTCGCCAAAGTCTCCGGGGACGTCCTTGATCGGCATGCCCTCCCCCTTGACGATGATCATGTCACCTGGCCTCGTGATGTCGGATATCGAAACGCGGACAATGTGGCCGTCCATGTGCTTGATACTCCTCTCCCAGCCTAACAGGGCCTCGCGGAGCGTGATCTCCACGTCCATCACGAGCGCGCTACCCAGCCTCGTGAACGGCGGCGTGGGCAACTCCTTGAGAAAGACCTGGATGTTACCGGGCACGTGGTCTGGCTTCTGGCTCGCCATATTCTTGAAGTCTACGATCTCGTACTGCGTGATGCCCTTTTCGATCCGGATGGGCAGCTTGGTCACCTCAGTCCTGCAAGCGTCTGTGCTCGGCTGCTCCATCCTCGCCTGGAATATCTGCCCGCCTCTCTGGAACTGCTGAATTTTGATATCTGGCGCGCACTGCTTGCACCCTTTGCACTCCTTTCTCTTGCATTTCACGCCGCTTCCACAATCGTACAGGCACCCTCTGCACACCATTTGCCGCTCCACCTCCAGCTCCGTGACCTCCCCGATGTACGCCTGCGCCAGAGTGAAATTGACAGTAAACTCCATGTCCTCAGTGTACTTCTGATCTGTCCCAGTGATTCCCTTCAAGGCCTGGACCATCTCCATGCCGCCTTGGTCGAAACAAATGCGGGCCTCTGTGTCGGTGAGCACCTCGTACGCGTCCCGGATGTGTTTGAAACGCTGCTTCGCCTTCTCGGCCCCCCGTCAAGCGGGGAGAGTGCGGCGGGCAGTTGGCTGGCTCTGAAAAGACTGCGTACACTTTCGCTGGTTCCCAACAACCCGATGTCTTGATTCTTGTCAATACGGGGACCCCAGAAATGTGAACCATTTCCTGAGGCCACCAAGTCATCCCGAGCTGTTGTTTGACGGTCCCAGGGCCCAGCGAGCTGGCAAGGGCCCCAAAATGCCGAGCACGACGAAACCCTTCCGTCTTGAGTTGTTCTACGATGGATGTTGGAACCCCTGAGTGTACTGGCGCTGGTCTCTAGTTTGAGGGACCCTGCCGAGCGTGCGCCGCCAGAGCCGACAGGGGTCTCACCCCCGCCGGCCTTGGGGGCGAGACGTGAGCCACCCCGAGTCTCTCGAGGCTCAGGTCCCTTTGATGGAACGCCCCCACTTGGCAGATGATAGAAGACGGCGGGCGCCAGAACCTCTGAACCACACAACCTTGCCAGTCTGAAGCGCATGTTTTACTTCCGCCGGCTTGCGCTCGCCCTCCGCCAGTGTCTGCCGGCGGAGGCGGCCCAGTTTTGCTTCCACCGAGGACGCGGGAGAGGGCTCAACTCTTCCGATTCCTCAGAGGCGATGCCCTCTGTGGAATCGCCATACAACTGATTACTTCAACGCACGGTTCATTCTTTACCCTTGATTGTTGATCGCACCCCGGGGAGCGGTACTTCATCCCAGGTCGGTGCATGATGGATGGACAGCAACGCACGGGAGTTTCTGGTCGTCCCCATGACGCCCAATAGTGTTTGATAATGTGCTCAATAGGGCGCAAAGCGGACGCAACACACCTACCTCGCATGGCGCTAATGCCCGCTGCTTCGGCACTATGCAGCGCTACGGTTTGCTTTTGGGCGCGGCGCTATGCAACCAACGCAAGACGAGTGGAAACCGTCGCGACTTACGACCTGATCATGGTCCGATGCGGGCCTCCAGAGACCGAACGCTGTCATAATGCCTGGCGCATTTTTGTTCGAGCCGCCGGAGGTCGGTCACAGTTGGTCAATCAATGCGCTTGATCAAATGAGCCCGGGCCTTTTTCCCAGGGTTCTTGTCCGGGTGGTACTTGACGGACATCTCGCGGTAGGCCTTCTTGATGGCCTTGTCGCTTGCATCCGGCTTCACCCCCAGGAGCGTGTAGTAGTTCATGTCTTCCTCGCGAGTGGGCGGGCAGGCAAGAGGAAGAGCGGGAACATGAACAGGAAGGCAGGGGAAACCGAAGTATAAGCATTTGGAGGGGAGGTAGGGATGGGGAGGGAGGATAATGGGGGCAGCAAGGAAAGGAGGAGGACGTTCTCCTTGAACAGGCACCTGACCTCCTGCTTCCAGTATCTGCAGCCGAGAGTGCCATCCTCCACAATGACCGCCTGGTGAAGCAAAGCCGAAGAAGATGGAGGGAGGCACTCTCCTCCATTAGACGTGTCGTTAGGACAGGCCGGGCATTTCCCTTGAGCCTTCCTCGCCGCTTCTGATCCTGAACCTTGGAACATCAAACATTTACACAGATGAAACGGGACCTTTTCAGTATGGGGTTCCCGTCATGGCGCCGCGATCAATCGTCCAACAAAGTTCAAAACCGTTCAAAACCTATGGTCGGCCGGACACGATGGCAACGCCCAGTATGCCATCACCTCCCCTCCCTCCTCTTTTTTCTTCCCGCTCATCCTCCTCCTAACGCCCTCGCCTTTCCCCTGTCCTGCAGCTCGTCATCCTCATTTTCCTCCTCCCCCTGCTCCTCCTCCCCATCATATCCCTCGCCATACCACCGAGTAAGCGGGAACGCGCTGCATCGGTTCATCAGGTACCGCCCGGATGTAGTACAGGGCCCCGACTTGGGCGGTGTCCTCGATCGACCCTCCTAAGATGGGGGGGACGGGGGGCGGACGACGGGGGCGATGACACGGAGGAGCACGCGGGGGAACTAAACGGTACCGACAACGCTACGCCCAGGACCTCTCCAGGGGTACATCCTGACCAGACCTTCTGAAAGAAGCTAGCCGTCGCAACGAAACCTAGCCCTCCAAGACGAGCAGCGGTGTCGGTAGCCTTCCCTCCTCTGCGCACAAAGAGGAGGATCGATGGGGAGGAACAGGAGGAAACGCAGGATAAGGAACAACAGGATGAGGAGCCCCACTCAGGGGCAGAGGGCACGCCTAGCTGGTCGACGGGGCCGAGAGCACCTGGCCGGTGTAGCCGGGGCGTTCCTCCAAATGAAAGCTCTGCGCTCGCAGACGAGACGCAGAGCAAAATAGTACTGACCACCCAGGCCAGGCCTCTGAACCGAGGGGCAACTTGCCCGACGCCCTGGTCAGAGCTGCATGTCTGAATCACTGAAACTCTGCCAGGCCGAACCCATCACTGACACACTCTCCGGAGCAGGAAAGAGCTTGCCGACGTGCTGCAGCTGGTTCCGATTTGCCCCTCTGGGAGGCAGGCACAAGAGAGCCAGACGCCAGCAAACAGGGAGCTCTGCGCACCTGCGAAACAAGGTCAGGATCATGAGCCCTTGGGCTCAAAGGCCCCTGTCTCGGGACAGCACTGGATCGCACAGAATGGCCCGACTCAGCTGCTCGCTGCCGCCTGACATCTGCGCCACTGCGGCTGAGGGACCTGATCTCATCTTCCGAATCCCCACCACCCTCGACGAGAGAGAGAAGCCCAAAGGAGGAGAGGGGACCCTCAACAGTGGATGTGTTAGCTGGGACGGTGGTGCTGGGGAAAGCGCTCAGAGTGCCAAGCGTATCCACTCCAGCACCGTTATCTCTAAGGGCCTTGAACTGAGAGATATCATCAGAAAGGGACTTTGTCAGGATAATCACCCATCAGAAATGGACGTCTGACTGTGCACCTCTTGCCGCTTTTGGACGGTACTGCTGGGCACGGGCTGAGAAAACCCTTAAACACACATGTCGTATGCAGGCCGCAGCAGGCGCAAACAACAACAGCAAACCATCACTGCAAACACCAGACATCTTATTACGCAATGGAAGAGTAAACCGAAGGCTTGCCCTGAAATCTGCCCACACAGGGCTGCGCAATTCGTTGCGTCGAAGCACATCTGTTTCGTCGGAAGACGAAAATGTAGACTTCCATGGCGCAGGCTTAGCTCGCTGCTAACCTTGAACAAATCAGGACTGGTGCAGCTGAATGTTCAAACTCGTGGTTTGTTGGCTGCCTGCCCCCTTCGGCTGTGCCGAATCCAGAGGGCTTGCCTCTGCGGAGTGAATTTTCGCGCAGCAGCGGCCCTCTCTCTTTCTCTTTGGTTGCTGTTCTCTCTCTCTCTCTCTCTCCCTCCGCGATGCTGGATGCGCACAACTGGCGGCGGATCAAACGACGGGTGCGTCGAGAGGGCCGCCTTCGCTAAGCGACCGCACTGCTGATGTATAGGAAAGGCGGACGGTCGGCCTCGCAAACCTTGCCTTCACCATCATGGGCCTTGACCTTTTGCGCACTGCCGTCGAAAACAACACATGCAGCTGTCACTGTCTAGGGCCGTCCTGGAAGTGTCTGGGTGCATGGGGTTGTAGGACAGCCTGTTGCGATCGACTACTGATTTCCGATCGACAGAGGCTCTGGCACCTTCTGTCCGAGTTTGCTCCGACTCAAGAAGCCCCAGGTACTCCCCCGCCTAAGGCGCCCTGGGGAGATGGGGTGACAACCGGGCCTCCAATGTCCACTCGGGCTCTCAAAATCCGAGAAGCCACGAGCCGCCCGCGAAGCCCCGCCGAGGCTCTCTTTCCCCGTCCTAGAGCAGGTCCCATCAGATCATGTGCGGGGGCCCGATTGACCACGACGCGACATGCCCACAATGGACTCGGCGCCGACCTGCGCAACGTGAACGGAACACTCCTCCGCTGGGGGGGGACGCGAAGCATGAATCCCGGCCAGCCTGAGGATACGCCAAGAAACCAAAACTGCGCAGGAGGTTGCACCCACCTGCTTCCACGATCTCAGCAATCAACCTTCCTGAACATGTACCATGTGCCAATTCTCTGTTGCACGGATGCGTGGGCCCTACAGAAATTGAGACCGTGGGGCGCGGCGTCCACGACATCCCGGCATAGTTCGCATTCGTCCTCAATGAGAGAATCTGCTTTGGCGGCACTGCTGGCGGCGCAGGAGCCCCGGCGAACAACGGCAACCACGAGGGCCCTTTCCACGGCGGATAGCTCATCTCTGCCCCAGGGCGCGGGAAAGGCCCCGGCAACATCGAAACAAAGCCCAATGGAAACCTCGCCCAGGCCCGGCGACAGCGACGCGGAAGCCAAGACCCCCCACGTCCTGGCGCTTGCCCCTCCCCACCAATACTCCAGCAATTTGGGCGCATGGACACAAAGGATGGAGACCTCGCCGCCGCGCGCGCACGGTGATAGGGCCAGTTGAACTCCGGCCAATCCTGTCGAGCGCGCTCGCGGCAGCAGAGACAGGCCCCCGAATTCAAACGTGATGGTCTCCCAAATTTATTTTAATTCTGGTATCTTCACAGATCCGAGGCGCCTGGCCTTGTTCGCGGGCAGCGTCCGCACTTCCCGAGCCCAGCGCGCAACCGGCGCCAGAGCCCATCTGCCAGACTTGCACTGGGAAGTCAAAAAGTGACGCTGCCGATTGACACTTTAACTTTCGGGCCAGTAGCGAGCAGCTCCGTGCGCCTGAGATCCTGCAAGCTTGTTCTCGAGATCCCATCAATAGGTGAAGCGTGAGCACCCGCCGGCAGAATGCCGAGCGCAACTGTTTTCCTAGCTCCCTGGCCCACGCCTCTCGCCAGTGGTTTTCAGTCTAGCCAATCGGATTTGGCCTTTTCCAATCCTCGAGGCTCTCGCGGTGCCCCTGCTACTGCAAACTGACTTGCCAGCTCTGAAGCCCGATCCGAGGCTCGCGGTAGACATTTGCATTTTGCATGCTCAAGCTGAGAATGCAGAATGCAGGGACGACGCGCCCGCCCCCGGCCGCGCTGCTGGCCGCGGACGAGCATTTCGCAACCGACCGGTCTGCTTCCAGCTAGCCCCTGGTCAGCGAGCTCAGCACCCTGGCTGCCTTCGCCAAGTAGCGATACACTTCCTGAGATGCACCGAGCGCGGCCAGTGAGAAGTCGTCAATTAAAGTCGTAACAAGCGACAAGAATAAATCCCGTAGCCCCTCAGGGGCGGCTGAAAACAATGCACCCTGACATAAGCGATCGCAAATGAGCAGCCTGCTGTGTTGCCTCTTAGTGCATGCAGGGCATTGGCAAGTGTTCTCTTGTGCCTAACGAAGCTAACGGCGCCATGGGCAGAGAGATGGAACTGCATGAGCGCGGGGTGAAAACACAACTCTTCGCCAAGCTTTAGCAGACGGCCCCTATCGAACCTCTCATAGACAGCCGCGAGGTCCCAGAGAGTCCCGCCGCGGACCCACCCCCAGACCTGCCCGTTGTTTCCACGCCACACCATTTGGAGGGCCTTCCAGGTCCGTAGCTGAAACATGGGCGACCGGAGGACTCCATCCAAATCCTGGCAAGTGGAAGCATGATCTTCTATGGCGCCCATACTGAGAATCCCCAGGGCGCGGCACCCCGCGGCGGCCTCGGGAAGAAGGGCCATGAAAACCCAGTCGATACGCGGCGGGCGCCCCCCCAAGGCACTCCTACATGCCAGGCGCGTGTATCTATGTGTATACATATATGTATTTCTGTGTATGCATATATATGTGTGTATATATATATATATATATGCAAACGAAAACCTGCGCCCCATGCGTTGACATGCAAATGAGGCGCCAGGCGCGACGGCCACTCATGCTGACGGGCGACCTCGTCGGATGAGATTCGATGATATCCTGCGCTGCTGATTTTGACAAGGGCGGCGAGGCAACTGCGCCTGGTTGGCGACGCGCTGAAGGCGCGCGCCCGCCCCCCGCAACTGATCGCACTGACTATGGCACTCCCGCAGAAATGCTCACGTACTGTTGGACCAAACCATCAAGACTAGAGTCGTCTTTTTCGCAATCTAGCTGTTCTCTGCCAAACTCCCGGGCTCCTCCAGCCCCTTTGCTGAATGCCGCGCGCGCCCGATCCTTCGGACTGTCGCGATGCTTTTTGAATGGGTCCGCAATGGCCCCTTCTGGAAACAACCGCGACAATCGCCCTCTTCTGCCCCGCCCCTCTCACGATGCCCCCCCTGCCTTGCTCCTGAAACCCCTCCTGCGCCCCCTAGATGGGGGGCAAGCTGTCGCGCGACGCCCAGCGACGATCTTGAAATATTTGGCCGGGCTGGGTCGCGACAGCGCGCGCCGGGCCTCGTGCCGGGCGAGCTTGCCCGCCGAGGAGTCGAGCCGCTGAGACTGCGCCTATTCAGAACTGATAGCGCCCTCGTTGTCTGGGCCACTGAGCAGCAGAGATGAACTGCGCGGGCCGCTAGCCAAGCAGGTCACTGGGCCACTGCGCCAAAGCTCCCCCTTTGTCAGGATCTTCTCGATGAGGGGCAGCATGCGAAGACGCGGCAAAATATATCTGGCACCTGCCAGAACCGGTCCACCCCTAGCCCTGTCCACGATGTCTTGTTCTTGTTCTCAAGCCCATTTCCGGCGCTATGGCCTTCCAAATGGCGACGGTCGCACTGCGCGTTCTTCTCGCCCGCGCGGGCCTGAAGTTTGGGGAAA